TGTTTCTAGCTCTCTATCTCTCTCCCTTCCTCTCTGTAAAAAAAATCAATAAAATACATATTTTTAAAAAGAAGCCTATAAGAGCATCAGCAGAAGAATAAGGTTGTTGAGCAAGTGTGGGTAGCTGCGTAGGGAAAAACAATGCTGAAAAAAAATTAAGATTCAAAATAGGAGAGAGGATGACTTAAACAGTGCATTTAAGATGGCTAAATTGCCCTAACTGGTTAGGCTCAGTGGATAGAGTGTCGGCCTGTGGACTGAAAGGTCCCAGGTTCGGTTCCGGTCAAGGGCATGTACCTTGGTTGCAGGCACATCCCCAGTAGGGGGTGTGCAGGAGGCAGCTGATCGATGTTTCTGACTGTCTACTCTAACCTCTTCCTTCCTCTCTGTAAAAAAAAAAATCAATAAGATGGCTAAATTGCAAATGCTGTGTGTAGAATTAAAAACAAGATGACTGGGGGTTGGGGGTGGCCGGGGAGAGGTCAATGGGAGGAAAAGGAGACGTATGTAATACTATATGTAATACTTTAAACAATAAAAAATTAAAAACAAAACAAGATGAATTGCATAAAGGCTGGGGTGGGGGACCTGGCTTGGCAGGAGCTCACATAAGAGGTCACCATGGTTTATGACTAGTCTTGGGCACTTCAGAGCCCTAATGTTTTGTATATGTTATGAGTAACTACGATAGCTTCATTACCTGCCATGTCCCGAATGCCTGAACTTTTCCTACAGGGCTTTTTGATCATCATGCCAATCTTATGTGGTATCATTAGTCTGCTTTATAGACAAAGAAAATGACATTGGGAGATGAAATGGCTCATCTCACATCACACTTGGGAAATGGGGGAGCTCTGTCCATTCCACTGAGCCACTCAGCGGCTTAAAAAGTCAAACCTTGGCCCTAGCCGGTTTGGCTCAGTGGATAGAGCGTCGGCCTGCAGATTGAAGGGTCCAGGTTTGATTCCAGTCAAGGGCACATGCCTGGGTTGTGGGCTTGATCCCCAGCGGGGGGGTGGGGTGGGTGCAGGAGGCAGCCAATCAATGATTCTCTCTCATCATTGATGCTTCTCTCTCTTCCTCTCCCTTCCTCTCTGAAATCAATACAAATATATTTTAAAAGGTTAAACCTTGGTGTCTCTATTCTTGGCTTTGGACAGCCAGGTCCCATCTGGAACAGTATTCATTAAACCCCGAGATAAGAATGCTCTAGGTGTTCAAGATGGGGAATGTGGGGGAGGGGGGTAGGACAGGGTCTGGAGCGATGTCACAGGTTCAGGGAATTAAGGGTGTGGTCGTGTGGCAGAGGGTTAACTGGTTTGCTTCCCAGAGCAGGAAGAAGGTCAGTGGGTGGGACTTAGATGGAGGCTGAGTTAGACTGGTTCAACTTGTAATTGCAACAGGTGGGGATTCAGAGTTCAATCATATTGTGGGTGATTTAATGCTCCCATATCCTGTGAAATAGTAGGCAACTCCAAAAAGATGCAGTTCTGTATCACTGGTACTTAAAGATGTATTAAGTGAAAGAAGATTACAACAAAGCATTATTCCATTTAAAAGTGTATGTACACATATGGTTATATGTATACTTTAAGAAAATGTTTACAACCAATATGTGGCTCTCTTGTGGTGGGATTTCAGAAAAAATTGTAAAACTTCAGTCCTCTATTTTTCCTATAGCTAACATGGAATCTGTATAAGGAGAGATGAAAGCATATCTATAGTGACCCAGGAGCGAGTCAGCCCGTGCAGAAGCAGGAAGGTCCTGGTCCTCACGCGCCCCAGGCCCTGGGAATGGGGCCAACACAATGGGCTGGGGAAGGGGGCAGGACTAGGGCTCTTTCAACTCAAAGATGTCATGTGGAAAGTGTGATCCCACTTTTGTAAAACATGCAAACGTGTGTGAGGATCCCAGACAGCCATGGGTGCCCAGGCACTTCGAGCGATTCTATGGGAAGGGAAACAAAATGGGGGTGACAGCCTCCCAGCTTGCCAGCTGGTGCCCCGAGGGGTTTTCACCCCCATGCCCCCAGGGAGGCGCTCTCCTGTCTAGTGGCCTAACAGGATATTGGCATCAACTAGAAAGAATGCTGAGGTCTTTATGGACGGCTGGGAGCTGGTCTGGGAGACGATGGATCTGTTTCAAACAGATGTTTCCAGCAGGAGGGGACAGTCTCCCCTCCCAAGTGTCCGTCTCTCTTTTGCTTTCCTTGATGATAACTCCCTTTTCAGGACCAGCCACCAGAACGGACAATCTGAATGAACAGACGTAGCCCAAGCATGAGGCCTTATGGGAAAGCTCCTTGCCCCAAGGGCAGCAGAACCTGGGCCCCATCTGTGGCCCTCCCTTCTAGCCATGGGGTCCAGGCCCTCAGACGGGAGCCGGATCGGGGATCTCTTAGCAAACATAACATCAGAAGTGAACAACTTGAATGGGGGTGGGGTGAGGGGGAGTGTTGCTCTCCAAGTTGAACGATAAAAGGAAGAAAGAAAAGGGAAAACAAAAAAGACACACATGAGAAAGAAAAAAAAAATCTGTTTCCCAGCTATGGCCAGTTTTAACAGTTGACAGCTTTGAGACATTACTTTTTGCAGGCGGCAGAAGGGGACAAGGACAGGCTCAGTCACTGCTGTTCGTGAGGGCTTCATCTGTACATCTACAACCGGTGGAAGGCCTTGAGACAAGATCAGAGCAAGGGTGACGGGCCAGGTATAGAAAGTCACCAGGGCGGAAAGCCCCGGGTGCCTGGCAACAGGGAAAACAAGAACCTCGCCCCAGGGTAACTGTTCCTCCCCCAGCATATCACTGGGCATGCAGTGCAGACCCCTGACCTTCCATGTCGCTGGTCGCACGGTTCAGATCCTCCCCTGACCTCTCCTCCCCTGGCATGTTTCTCGTCATGCAGGTTACACCCCCTTGGAGGGGGAACAAAAAAGGGGGCCAGAGAATAGCGTTTAAGCATTAAACCCCCAGGACAATGAGGTTCTGACCTGCTTCAAATACTACATCTAGGCCTCAGTTGTATTTCAGCTCCAGGCCCAGAAAAGCTGCAAAACCAGACAAGCTGGGCCATGGCTGACCTCAGGACCCCCTGACTGGCACTGACCAATCAGTGGTGACCATGCCCTGACAGGACACTCCTGGAAAGCTGATGAATATTCTATTGATCCTCCCCTAGGACCTCCCCTCAGGTCCCTCCCTTAAAAGCCCTGTGCTCCCGCCCACTGGAGCCTCTTCCCTCCCGCAGGCAGCTTACCTTCACCCTCCTCTCTCCTAAGCTCCAAGGGGCCTTCTTTTGCTTCCTGAGCCTATTCCTTCTATCGCCCACTTCTTCTATCTCTGTGACTTTCTAAATAAACTTTTTCTTATTGTTTGAGTCTTGGTTCTGAATTCTTTCTTAGCCAGAACTCAAGTGTGGAAGTTGCTGAACCAAGGTTCCGTCTGATCCCCCTAGTCTAACACCTGGTGCTGTTCTCACCCCCCTACCAATCTACAGCCTGAGGGTGGGATCAGAGTGAGCCGTAAACACCCCAATCGGGGCCTGCTTCAAGGGGGGAGAGAGGGGGGGAAATGAAGAACCCACACGGAATTTGAGTGCAAAAAATAAATATAAAATTTATTAAAACACCCACAATATTTTAAAGATACCAGGAGTAATACAGTTCACAAACCCAGACGTTTGTGTAAATTATAATAAAATACAAATCAAAAAAGGATACATACTTGCAATTTCTAGGCACCCTAAATTAAATTTACTGAAACACTGGGGGAGAAGAGAGGGTAAGGAGGGGTAGCTCAGGAGGCAAACCAATAAAGTGGGAGGAAAAATATTAACAAAAAAGGTAAAAATTATACAAAATAAAATTATCAGCATAAATTTACTGTACTAAGAATATCTACAGTTTAATAATACACATCCTATTGCCTTGAGACATTGCAAAAATCTACCATTCATCCATCAACCCCAGATAAACTTCATTTCAAGTAGCCACAGTTACAAAGTCAAGACGGAATATTCAAGTATGGTTGTTAAGTTCACCTCCATTGGAAGCCAAGTAACCAAACAGGAATTCAAAGAGAGAAGAAATAAAACACATCAAAAAGCTAGAGGGGCTCTAGACGAAATCTAATGCGTGTATATGGCCACAATAGGGCCTGGCCTCGCTTCTTTTTAAGCTGGAGTACATGAGAAAGAAACAACGTCACTCCTGTTTTTCTCCTCCTTTTTCCCCTCGAAAAGAAAACAAGTGTTGGGACCAAGAAAATTTGGATGTTCAAATGAGCCAAACAGTATTTTTTAATTCCCCGTGTGAAGAGTGACAAGTTATCCCTGAATGATGGGTAGTCAAGATGAGGAGAGAGAGAGAGAGAGCGCAAATGATACCGCTACACAAAGCATCCCTGATATCAGAAGAGAAGCAAATGAGGAAGTAGGCCAAATCACTCACTAATCCTTAGGCTAAAGCCATGCTGGACTTTGCATTACGTCGGTGCTGCGGTCTCTACTCAGGGAGAAGCCTACGGCGTCGCTCTTGCCGGCAGCTGTGCGGGAGAAAGGGCCGGGAGCGCCGAGACAGGGCCTCGCACGCAGGAAAACACTTTGCAGGCGTGGGTGTGGGACTGGATAACCTGTGCTGGGGGCACGCACCTCAGAAGGTGTTCATTTTGGTCCAGGGTCATGTTGAAATTGGCCGTGTGCTACTGTCGATGCAGCTGGCGAATCAAACTAGGGTGTGAGGGAGTCATTTCAAATGACGGCAACGATGACCGAGAAAGCTCAATGAGATGGGCACGGGAAATTCACATTTTACTGAAAAGCAGAACCGAAGAAGAAAATGAACTAAAGCCAACCATGCTCCTTCCTTTAGGCGCTCGGCCGTTTTAACTGCTGAAGGATGGAAAACGACCCCAGGTTCTTCAAGGTCAAGCACATCATCAAATGGACAAGCTGCAGGTATCGGACCCTCACGGAACCTACTTTACCAACGCCGTCATGCTGTCCTGTTTTTGAGGTATTTAAAAAAAAATTACTGTGACAGTGGATGACACAAAATGGAGCTTCCCGTTGAGTTTTTAAAAAACATCAACTTCTGTGGACCCAGGAGGAAATGTAGAATAGCACCAACTAAAAAGCAGCCTCAGTGGCATCGAGTGAGCAAAGAAAGCTCCTTCCTTCAGTCTGAACACGAGGGGTGGCCGGTGAGAGGCAGAAGCGACACTGGGCAGAGGCTATGAGGAGCCAAGAAGGGAGGCCTGCCCACCACGGCCTGGCCAACGCCAGGGGAGGAAGGAGACCCTCGGTCCGCCGCGGCGTGCACAGCACCTGGGGACTCTGAGAGAGGTCTCCGCGGCACCCTGGGCTGCGGGAGAACCTGTGTCCTTGGCTATGAGAATGCCTGCCATGTTGGAAGAGGCAGAGAACCCGAGTCCCCTTCCGGGGGGGGAAGGGTGAGGGGGGGGAAGAAAAAAGAAACGAAGCCCTTCCTCTCTCTTTAGGCCTGAGAAGACAGAATTGGAACTAGAGCACCAGCCAAGCCAGGCAGGCCGCCCCCCTCCGCAGTCAGGGAGCGAGCTGCCTTTGCGACTTGCCTTTCCGTGTTTGGCCACCAAGGGAAGAACAATGAAACAAAACAGAAATACTGCTCAGAGCAGGTGGTAGCACGGTCAACAGAGGTCTAAGGAGACAGCACCAAAACAGGGAGGGGAAAAGAAGCCACGGGAGACTGGAGCCCACCTCGTTTTTGGTTGGTTGTGGTTTCAGAACCATGATAGCACCTCAGCAGGTCAGGATCAGGGACAGTCACATTAAAACACCATAGCACCATTTTACTGAGACTATTTCAATTCATAAAAATGCTTCCTAGGCCCTAAAGCACAACTTCAGTAACAAAAGGAGAGAGATTGGTTGAGGCACATCAGGGATGTCGTTCTAATTTCCCACCGGCTTGGCCTGGGTCGGAGATCCGGCGGTGGGTCACGGTCACCAAGTCTGGCGGGATTTCGCGCCATGAGATCAGGTTACCGACGACTCATCACCCGCCGTCCTCACACACCTACTGCTGCTAAGTACAATTAAGCTCTGCTACTTCTTCCCTTGCGCTAGGACGCCAAAGACCCCCTGCTCTGCACACGACGGTGTCCCAAAGAGGCCGGTGGAAGGACCAAGAAGGGGCAGGTATGACCTCTTTCCACGCATGCCACTGTCATCTCGGCGAGAAGGCAAAGCAGACACCGAGGCCCTGCCAAAAAAACACACAACAACAACCTCAAATCCAACCACAACAGAAACAGAACACCTCAAAACCCATGACACACCTCAGTCAAGATTTCCAATGGCCGGATAAGGGTTTCTTGAGCTAGCACCGTTATTTTGCGAGAACCTGCCGCGAAGCAATTTTCATGTTAAAAATCTCTTAGCACAGAACTTTGCAAGCACGTCCCTTGCACACAAAAGGGAGGGGGGGAAACGAAACAAGAGGAACCCATGGTCAGCGCTGCGTGTGGATGGCGTCTGTGGACGGGGCACACTGGGGGGCGGGGGCAGGCGGGGGGAGTGACTAGAAGACTCCATCATTGTCTGTTGCTATAATATTACTCTTAGAACTTGGTCAGGCTGTTAGGTTCTTTAGTTGCAATGGCTTTATTTTTCTTTTCATGATACAAATGTCTGGTTCATCATCTTTAGGACTTAAAAAAAATGACAGTGCCAGTAAAAAATAAAAATTTGATTTTTCTCTTTCAGAAACCTTCAGCAGCAGGGGGGCGGGGAATAAAGAGCTGTGCATAGTTCCTTTTTAAATATACGTCTAAAGCATGCTAATTTCAATGACTGAGACTTGAGGTAGGTCATACATGTAGTGTGTACAAATCAGCATGGGCTTGAGCATGGCCACAAGCACCACCTCATTTCTGAAACACCTTTCCCAGGGGATGGGGACGTCCAATGGAGGCTGCCTCTCGGCTCACCTCTGCGCAGCCTGTTTCGTTTGCTCATCTAGAAATTGATGCACCGAAGGCTGTGTGAGCTGGGGGCGGGGTGGGGCACAGACATCACATGCTTTGAGCTTGTACTGGATTCTCTTTTCAGCGAATGGCTTTGCTACCAAAGGGTGGCGAGGGGGAGGGTCTATCGAACACACGTCGGGAAGACTCACACATGCCAAGGATCAGAATCACCTGGGTTCACTCGGGACCTTCCAAACCAACAGCCGACCCGGGCTTTCCTGGGCCACACAGGCGGTCACATTCTCCAAAACGTTTCGTAAAATATTGTATTTCTTGCTTAAGATCATTTAAAATGAAGTTTTCAAGGCACCCCCCGTATCTACCTACGCACGGAGTCAAATGAGACCTGCATAAAAGTACTGACGCGATAAGCAAAATAGCATTTCAAGGGCCCCACGTCTCCTCAAAACTAGGAAATCAGCATGCTCGTTCAACACTCTGCTTCCTTTCGCTTGTCCAACCGAAGGTCAGAGGTTTTTTTTTCCTATAAATCTGAGTTCTGAATAATTCTAAATCCTGATAAGCTCTTGGGTATTTATTTCAAAAGCAATAATATTTCATTTTTTTTTTGTCCTGTAAAATAAATGCAACTTTACAGAATATGGTAAAAGTGAAGGATAGACAAAGCACGTTAAATATTCAGCTACTATTTACAAGTTTCTCCCACAATTACATGTTAAAACATACTTTTTCTTTTCAAGTTGCTGTTTAAATCTAGGCAAAAGTGCTTAAAAAAATCTTTCACTATTTACAGTTAAAACCAGACCACATAAATGCTCAGGACGTGACAGCGGCCCTCCCTCCGCCAGCGCTCCCGGAACAGGGACCGTAAACCTGGCGGGCGGCTCTCAGCGCTCACACAAGGCACCTGGAAGCTCAGGAACTTGCCTCTAGCACCAACATCTGATTGTGACACCCATATCTGAATAAAACTGCTCAACGGATACCTGCTGTTTCTCCCGGGGCTCGGCTGCCACTCGCCGTGCGGCCACCTTCCCCTCGGGGTCCTCACAGAGCCTCCGCTCACGCGCATCCACACGGACACAGCTGCAGCCAATACCACAGGCAGCCCCGGCGCTCAACAAGCGGGACCTGCTGTCCACGGAGGTTGCTTCCACCTGCCAGGCCCAACCTCTCTCTCAACCATGTTGGGGGAATTAAGCACCACAGTCTCATTTCAAAGAACTGAACGAATGCACCAGAATTTTCTCGAACGAGGGTGTTAAAGTGGGTGGAGAGGGGAGGAAGGAAAGGAGAAAACGACTGAATAGAGAGATGGCACCAATTAGGGAGGAAAATCATAGCTACCAGTTGAAAACGTTTGACTCTTGCATTTAAAAATCGTGAAGTGTAGGCCCACTCCCCAAATGATAGCATTGGGGGGGGGGGGGCGGGCTCAGGGGTGAGGCATGCACCATTATCCGACGTGAAAATCCAGGAATGAGGAGAGATGCGTTAACTGCTGTCACACTGGCGTGCCGAGCTCCGAGCTCCCGCAGGATCCGACCTGCCCCCAGAGCCGAGGACGTCCCAGCAGATACTACAGCACCAGGCTCAGCACCGCGCACAGGGGGCAATGCTGGCTTTTCACAGCTTGGGTTCAAATTCTTGCTTCTAAAGATACAGTAGCCCTTTTTCGGGGTCAGCACGGACTTTGGGGCATTTTTTAGACATTGCCAATAAGACACATTCCTTCGGACGGGGACTATTCACTGGCTTGCTGACTTGGTGCAAAAGGCTCCGAAGGGCCTCGAGGCCAGCACCATGGCGAGGTGCTGCCTGGGGAACCGTGACATCCTGTGACGTGGTAACGGACAGAGAGGGTTCAGTGTGGTGACTAGCGGGCTGGCAGCCGTCCACTTCCAACCTGGTTTCTGGGGGAACCTCCGCCAGCCTCTCAGGTGCCTGGCCTGGGGTGCACCCGTCCTGCCCCCCAACTCCAAGCAGGTGCCTGGAAGAGGGACCCCAGATGTTTTTGTACAGATGCTCCCATCCTCCCGGAGCGGACAGGAGCCGTCCTGAGGGCTCCCTCCCCTGCGGGAAGGCGGGTCTGTCTGAGGGGCGGACGGGTAGTGACACTCTGCACTTGGTTCCTGAGGGGCGGGCGGCTGAGAGCCTCCTCGGCTCCCACGGGGCCAGGCTTGCTGGGCCCAGAAGCCTGGGCAGGAATGAGCACGTCTGGCCGTCCCTGACCATCCTTTACCATTACTATTGTCGTTTTTAAAAAATCCAATAAATACACATTTTAAATGGAAGTTAAAACTACTCCTTTGTGAAAGGACACTATAAACTTTCTTTCCATTATTGTGATATACAAGGATAGAGTTTTAAAAACAAGAGAAAATAAAAGCCCCCCAATAAGGGGGGAAAAGCCAATGTGGAGATATAAATATTAAGATCACAAAAAAATCACCCGACAGCCGTAGCTTCTTCTTCAAAGTGCTGGGGAGGTGGGGGAGAGAGGGGCGGGTCAGTTCTGAGGTTTGGACCATAAATACATATATATGCATATCTATATATGTATATATAGATAAGAAGACTTCTGCACCCCCAACCCGCCCCCAGGTGTGAGGGCAAAAGCACCACAGAGGCAGCTCGGGCCGGGCCCGACGCTGAGGTACGCTGGCACCGGGCACCTAGATCCAGCGGCTGTAGGGACCAGTGACCTTCGTGTAGGCGTAGGAGGACACGGTGACCGCGGAGTCTGTGGGCACGGCCAGCGCCTGCCGGGTGGGGACGGTCCCCTTCTCCTTATGCTGGGGCTCGGTGACCAGGGCACCCCCCCACTTGCGCTTCTTCCCGTAGAGCTTGGCCTCCTGCTGGCCCAGGCCCAGCCGGGCGGCCTCCTCCTGCCGCGCCCGCGCCCTCTCCGCCAGCTGCTTCATCTTGGCCTCCCAGAGGGCCAGCCCGTGGTTGGGCTGGTTGAGGTTCTTGTGCTGGTAGAAGACCAGCGAGATGCGGGTGGGGTGGCAGCGGTTGGGTTTCTTCAGGGGCGTGGTGGCGTGCAGCTCCCGCCGGGCGCACTCGATGAGGATGGAGCCGTGCGCGGGGGCCACGGCCACGCCGCCGATGTTCTCGTCCAGGAAGTTGTGCTCGCTGTCGGACCACAGCTCCTCCTCGTCCTCCTCCGCGGGGCCCTTCTCCTCCTTCACCGCCCCCTTGTTGGGGGGCTCCTCGGCGGTCCCCTCCTCCAGGCTGAAGGGGTCCCACAGCTTCTCCTCAGACTTCAGGGCCCCGAACAGCTTCTCGCTGGAGCCCAGGGGCATGCCGAAGGACGGCCAGGCCTTGTCCAGCGGGCTGGCCCCCGGGGTGGGGATCCGCCCCTCCTCCCCTTTCAGGGGGCTCCACAACTTGTCCTGGAAGCCAGGACCGCCTTTCAGGGCGGAGTTGAAGTCCCCTGCCCCTACTCCCCACGGCTTCTCAGTCAGGCTGGGCCCAGTCAGGGCCGAGGTGCTGTTCCCAAACTTGCAGGGGCTCCACGGTTTGCCTCGCAGACGTCCTCCGGGCTGGGGGGCGAGCTGCTGCCCCTCCCCCGGGAACAGCCCCCACTGGCCCTCCGGGAAGTGAGAAGAAGCCAGGCAGCCAGCCCCAAAAGAACTGAGCTTCTCGGGGACGACGGCGGGGCTCTCCCCGGGAGGGAACACACCCCAGCTGCCACCGACGCTGTTAGTCCTCTTGGGGGACATGCTTGGGCCTCCTGAGTACTGTCCCCATAGGTGATTGGGTCCGCCGTTCTGAGATGCCTCGGGCAAAGGGGTTTTGCCCATCTTACCAGGGTCTCTGGGTACGGAGTCGGCCGGGACCAGCGGGTCTAGTGGCTCTTGCTTGATGGATCTGTTGTAGCAGTTGGAGCTCTGTGCAAAGGGAGAGGGGTCCCTGGACACCGGGTGGAGCTGGGGGGCCTTGGGAAGCAGGTACTCCTTGGGGCCTGGATAAGCAGGCTGCTGGTGGTGAGGAGTGGGGGGGTGGGTGTCCGTGGGAACAGCCTGGCCGGGCAGCTCGGCAAACTCAGCACCACCGTAGGCCGGGCTCAGGCTGTTGTGCAGAGCGTGGAGGTCTGGCTTCTTCTCGAAACTGCAGTTGCTGCCACTGTGCCCCCAGGTGCCAGGCCCCAGGAACTGGGAGGGGAAGACGGGGCTGCTGGACGGGAAGCCGTAGTAGCCGAACGAGGGGAGCGCGTACTTGGAGTGGAAGCCGTTGACGGAGGCCAGGCTGGGCTGTGCATAGTAGGAGTGGTAGGAGTACACGCTGCTCACGCTGTAGGGGTCGGACGGCCGGCAGCTGCCCAGCACCGAGTAGCTCTCCACCACCGTGTTGCTGCCGTACTTGAAGGAGCTGAAGTGGTTCTGCGGCTCCACCTTGAGCGAGGGCTTCAGGCTCTGCTGGGACAACCCGCCCTTCAGAGACAGGCCTGGGGAGAACGGGGGGCAAGACGGAGAAGGAGCAGTTAGGACCACTGCCCGGAGCCCTGGGAAGGGTGGGGTGCAATCCCCCCGCCCGCAGAGGTTCCTGCTGCAGGTCAGGCCGGACGAGGGAGGCTGGCCTTGCTCTGGGTGCCGCACAGCGTGGCCCCCAGACCCGTGGAAGCCGTGGGAGAGGCGGCTCACAGAGCCCACGGCCCGCTCTGCGTCGCTTCCTGCTCCCTGCCCCTGCGAGCTACCCCAGTCCTCCCTGAAGCACTTCCTCTCATGCCGGCCACGGCAGGGACCAGGGCCAGGAGGCGGGAGGGCCGTCCACCTGCTGCCCCCACAGCAGCCCACGTGCCTGAAGCCGTGGCCCCCTCCAGACTCTCAGCGAGGGAGCCAGCAGCCGGAGGGGAACCCACTCCTCTCGGAGGGTAAGACGACCTCCTTGCACTTGCTCCCCAGGTATCTCCTACCAGGTATGGCGTCCTGGGGCTGCTGTGGCTACCATGCTGACAAAATTAAGATAATGGGGTGGTCCAGGTGGCAGAGAGGGCCGCCAGGACTTTTCTGTCTGCAGTTCTATCGTGAGGCAGGAAGGGGGCAGTGAGGGAGCCGCCCAGGTCCACCACCCCACAGCACCCAGGCCGACCCGGTGGGTGCCCGCGCCCCACACACCTGGGTCCGTGGAGATGCCGGCCAGCTCCAGGGCCTCCTGCTTGATCTTCTCTGGGGTGCTTAGCTTCTCCTTCTGAATCTTCTTCTTCTCAGCTGCCGCCTTCCTGGCTTCCAGCTGCCGCTGGCGGCAAGACTTGGCGGGTTCTGGCAGGCGGCGGACCTCGCGGGGGAAGGCGGTGAGCACCTGGATGGCCCCGCTGCCCACCTTGGCGTTCTGGTTCTCCTCGCTGCCGAACTCGTCCGTGGTGGCCATCTTGTACAGGGGCAGCACGTGCAGCTGCTCGTCCTCGGGGATCCTGCCCACGCAGCGATTGTCTTCCTTGGTCAGGGTGCAGACCTGCCCCAGCAGAGAGGGGGACACGGAGCTGGAGGAGCCCCACACGGGGCAAAGGGGCCGAGCATGCCCCACTGGTGACACCCCTTCCCCACTCGGCCCCAACGCCAGGCAGCCACTCGGCCCTAATGCTCCCCATTACCTCGAGGACTGCCTACAAAGCACATCTGTCTGGGCTCACAGAGTAACAGCATGCTCTAGAGCAGCGGTTCTCAACCTGTGGGTCACGACCCCTTTGGCAGTCGAACGACCCTTTCACGGGGGTCGCCTAGGACCATCCTGCATATCAGATATTTACATGACGATTCATAACAGTAGCAACATGACAGTGATGAAGTAGCAACGAAAATAATTGTATGGTTGGGTCACAACATGAGGAGCTGCATTTAAAGGGCCAGAAGGCTGAGAACCACTGCTCTAGAGCAGCGGTCGCCAACTGGTGGTCCGCGGATGGTCCACTGGTGGTCCGTGATGTCCGAAAGGTTGGCGACCACTGCTCTAGAGCTTTCAAAGCATGTCCATTCACACTCTCTCATGTGATCTGGATGACGCCGAGAGGGGATGAGATGATTGGCCTGGGGTCACATGGCCGGCAGGGTCCGGGTCAGGGCTGCGGGGTCAGAGCTGGGAGACCTGCCTTGCCCTCCCGACCAGCATTATTGCCCTTGTGCTAGATCTCGCAGCCTCATTATCCGCCTTGCTCTGAACACATGGCCTCCTTTTGCTCTTAAAATACTTTTCCTTTTTATTAAAAACTACATATGCTTATTGTAGAAACTCATGCCAGCAAAAAGGAAATAAAAACTTTTTCCATAATCCCACTGCCCCAAAGTAATTGCTGTAACTCTGGTCACACAGCATGCACACACTCACCTTCTGGTAATAGGATCATGTTCTGCATGCAGTGCTGGAGTAACTTCATTAAAAAAATAGTATAGCCCAGCTGGTGTTCTCAGTGGTTAAGCACTGATCTATGAACCAGGAGGTTACGGTTCCTGGTCAGGGCACATGCTCTGGCTGCAGGGGCCTCTCTGCCTCTAAAATATCACCTATCACTTCATCCCATAGCCGCCTGCATCTTTTCCTCACAGTCTTCATCGCTACCGGACAGCACCTCACACACTTGGGAGGGACTGTGCATATTATTCCTGGCTTGGGAGCCGTACCTGGGCACAGTCAGCATTTGCACAGTGAATGAATTGAGAGTGTGTTTGGATTTCAGTCCCAGTGTTCACAGAGACCTGGAACCACACGTTAGCCAACTGGTGTGTATGTGTGTATGTGTGTGCGCGCACGTGTGTGCACACTCCAGGTGCCCAAGGGGCTGCATTCTGTAGCATCCACCCGATCACGGAAAACAAGGCAAGCCCTGTCCGTGCATCTGACGCACCTGGTGAGGGTTTTCTCAGAAGCTGGGCAGGAGCAGGCCGTCTGGCGGGCAGTCCCAGAGCCTGAGAATCTCTCGGTCCCTCCCTCCGTGAGCCCACCTGCCTGCAGAGACTGGGCGGCCGCCCCCCCGGATGGGCCGGGGGACGGGCTTCCTTACCACCGTGCAGCCGTTGTACAGGTTGTGCTGGTCCTTGTGGGCGTGGGCACAGAAGTCCATGCAGGCTGTGACCCCCGAGAAGGGCCGCCCTTCCTTCAGCCCCAGGCGGCAGTCGATTGCTATTTCCTCATTGGTCACCTGTGTGGATGACCGAGGAGAGTTGTCAGGTGACCAGCGGTGAGCGGCCCAGATTGTGGACCTGCGTCGGCCAGGTGTTGGGGAAGGAAGGGGAAGGCTCTCAGTCGCCTCGCCTCTGGGCTGCAGGACGGCGGGTTTCTGGCCGAGGCCCCTGAAGGAATTCTTCTCCTGGGCTACCTCAAGGGTCCCTCACCTGGCCTGGGGGCACTTTCCGTGCCCCTCGAAACACATAACATCGGTCCCTGCTTGTGAGCGCTCCACACCCTAGGTGAGAGGTGCGGTGTGGGTGAGGGAGAAACCAAGCCTCACCAGTAGACACCAGACCGGAGGCGGTGGAGGGGGCTGAAGACCAGGATGCAGGCGAGACGGTCTGGGATGCAGTCAGTGTGGTGTGGGAAGGGGGCCTTATCAAAGAACCGCATCCCCGCTCCACCCCTGGCTGGGCCTTCCCTGCGAGGAGCACAGAGAGCTCACCCCAGGCCCCCACCCCAGGGAGCTGGGCAGAGCTGTGGGTGACATGTGGGCGGAGAAAGGCCCAGGACTCGTACCTGGTTCTGGTAGGCCTGGGGGGCCAGCCGCTTGTACAGGGGAGCGACTTCGGTGGCCAGGTCCTGGAAGCTCTTCCGCAGCACTTCTTCCTGCGGGGAGAAGGGCACCACACGTGTAGAGCAGCCGCCCTGCGCTGGACGCCAGCCCGCGCCCCCAACCACCACTGGCTTCCACGGGGAGGACAGGAAGCAAGGTGCCGCCCTCTGCGAGGGGCCTGGTGCCGTGTCTGTCAAGTCGGAGACACTGAAGCTCAGCAGGAAAAGCTGCTGCCGGTCGTCCTGACTGCTGTCCGGCCCGCGCTGCTCAGACCACAGAGAGACCCGCTTGCTCCCGAGTGCCCACGCCCTCGGGTAGGGGTGGTGTGGGGGCACGAGCAGTGAGTGTGGTCCCTCCCCCACATCAGACAGGTCAGGGTGGAAGGTCTGTGCTAGAAACGCCACAGCCAGCCAGGCCCAGAGCCCGTCCTGAGCCAGGCACACAGGCGGATTTCAAAGCTCCATCCTCCACACCCGCACCACAAGCCACGTGTGGCTATTGATATAGAAGGTAATTTTATTTTTTTTAAATAAATTTTTATTGATTTCAGAGAGGAAGGGAGAGGGAGAGAGAGAGACACATCAATGATGAGAGAGAATCTTTGATTGGCTGCCTCCTGCACGTTCCCCACTGGGGATCGAGCCCGCAACCCAGGCACGTGCCCTCGACCAGAATCGAACTCGGGACCCTTCAGTCCACAGGCCGACGCTCTATCCACTGAGCCAAGCCAGCTAGGGCTAGAAGGTAATTTTAATTAAAATTAAATAAATTCAGTCCCTCTGTTGCACTAGCCACCTTCCAAACGCCCAACAGCTTCACGTGGCTCCTGCACTGGACAGCGGAGAACATTTCCACCATCAGAGAGAGTCCCAGCGGACAGCGCTGCCCTCCACGGAGCAGCAGCCCCCAGCCACGTGTGGCAGGAAGTTTGAGGTGTCCGGAGGGTAGTGAGGAGGGCTGTGGAAGCTCCTAGCAGACATCACAGAGTTGCCAGCGAAGGCATGGAGAGTTTTCATAGAAGAAAACAGGAGAAAGAGGGAGGACCACGTTCACAGGCTTAGAAATGGAAGAGTGAGACCAATGGCTGCCATCCCCGGGGGCACCTCCCTGGCTGCCACCCAGAGGCTGCCGCCAGCACCAGGCGAGGCTCCTAGGCTCTGGGGAGACCCAGGCCTGGGCCTCCACACTGACTACCATTCCTGCCACAGGGCCCCGGGCAAGCCATGCGCCTCGGCTGGGGAGTAAGGACTCATGTGCCCAGGTCATCAGGGCGCCGTGAAATTAACTGAGATGCCTGTGGGGGCTGGGCAGAGTACCCAGCACTTAGTACGTGCACAGGAAATGGTAGCTGATGGAACAGGGGAAGCATCCGTGAGAACTTAAACCAATGCGTTTTCATGCCTGGTGACCCCCAGTTCTTGGTGGCCTTGGGGCTCCTGCGTTCATTGAAGGAACTGCAGGTGCTGCCTCGGGGAGAGGGGCTGCTGTCCTAAATAGAAGTCCAGTGTCTCATCGGATGATGAGACCAGCTCACGCAAAAGCCTGACAGCCAGCCTGGGAGGAATAACAGGGTCTAAATCCGGAAATGCTTCCTTCGACTTCGGAAAAGCAGAGCTGGAAGTCTGAGCACAGACGTTCATTTGTGGGGCAGAACCACTGTGCCCAGGGAGTGCCTGCCCGCGGAGCTGGGAGAACTCTGGGACACCGTGGCTGGGGCCAGGATGCTGCCTGGGAGCCACCAAGGGACCCAGACTGCCTCCCTCGCAGGAGCTCAGGCAGGAGGGAGGCTGGAGAGAAAACGACAGGGAGCCCCGACAGGCCTGCACCGTGCCTGCCTTTGGAACTCCGAGTGGAGACCACCTCTCGGGCAGCCTTCACCCCGTGGGCGACAGAGGGGAAGTGGCTGAGTGGGTGGCCTGCCCTGGTGCCCCTGGCTCCCACGGCCTGAGCACGCCAGCAGAGGAGGCCCAGAAGCCCCTCATCTCGCTGTCACTGGGCGGGAAGGAGGCCTCAGACCTGGGGGCCGTACACGTGGACGCCAGCCCGGTGCCCGAGGAGCAGGCCCGGCACCTAGTAAGGAGGAAACGAGACCGCTGCACGGAGACGTCCTCCCAGCCACCAGGCGGGACGAGGGATGCCCCGGCAGGCCCGGCACTGCCCAGAGAAGGGCCCCAGGACAGAGGCCCTCTTCCTGCGACACCTCCCAGACCCAGAAAGAGGTCCTGGGAAGGATGAAGGGAAGTAATTACCCTTTAAAAGGGTCAAATTCGGATGAGAAATTGGAATATTTACTTTAAAGAGACGGTTTTAAACCGGAAGAGCCTGAAGCACTTGAAGTGAGAGGCCTAATTTTTCACTCACTGCCCCTCTCCGCGCATTTCCCACTCGATCTTGTTTCTCAGCAAGACAAGGTTAGTGAAAAAAGTAAAGCAAGTTTCATTTTCTCCATACGTCTGCGTGGAGGTGTGTTCACCCCTCCTCCCCTCTGGACAATGAAAGGCACCGGGTGGGGCGGGGCGGGGCGCGTGGAGGCCCTGCCGCTCCCGTGAGCTCCTCACCTCTTTGGGGTTGTCCCCTGCGAGGCGGAACTTGCGAGGGGTCTTGCTCCGAGCGTATTTGCAGCCGTTGAAGTACATGCTCCAGGAGCAGCCGAAGGAGAAGGAGGCACCGCAGGTGTTGGGGTCTTTGCCTTGGCAAGCACAGGTCCGGCTGCAACACACATCACGTGTTAGGCATAGATACACTTGTTTTATTGTTGTTCTAGAATCTTCCTCCTCCCTCTGGGGGAGGCCCTGCGGAGGCCTGGCACCCACATCCTTCTCCACCCTCCACTCCTTTCCCAAATGTCCTCTCTGCAGCCGGCTTGGCTCCCCCTCCTGAGGGCCTGTTGTTGGGAGAAGTACACGGGTCGTCTGAGGAGGTGGGAAGAGTCTAGTCAAACACCCAACAGGTTTACACTGTGTCTGAACTCCGAGGTCCTCACCAGCTCTAACAGACCACGCTGACAGGGGAACAGTGGGAACCACAGGGTTTGAACACTCCTACCCCCTGCAGGCCCAGCTGCCGACAGGCCTTTAAACACACACTGACGTTCCAATTCAAGCCCTAATACAACCCAGAAACAACCCGCGTGCTCCTCCACTGGGGGAATGGACAGACGAATGGTGGTAGGGCCAGGCAGTAGAATACTATGCAGCAGTGAAAAGGAATGAGCTACACCCACAGGTGATGTTTGGAAACGCTGAGCTGAGGGAAGAAGACAGGCTCAGAAGGCTGCCCATTTATGTAACATTCTTGAAAAGGCAAACCCATAGGGACAGGAAACAAGATTGGCGGCTGCTGGGGTGGGGAAAGGGCCTGCGATAAAGGGGTCCCAGGAGGCTTTGTGGACGACGGAACTGTTCCGTATCTTGATTTAGGATGGTCATGGTTACATGACCGTAAACATTTGTCAAAACTCTTCAAGCGGTGGGCCTCAAAGAATGAATTTTATTGTAAGTAAAAATACCTTAATCTAAAAAAAAAATGGGGGGGAAAAAACCCCGATAAGGCAGCGGTTCTCAACCTGTGGGTCGCGACCCCTTTGGCGGTCGAATGACCCTTTCACAGGGGTCGCCTAAGACCATCCTGCGTATCAGATATTTACATGATGATTCATAACAGTAGCAACATTACAGTGATGAAGTAGCAACGAAAATAATTTTATGGTTGGGTCACAACGTGAGGAACTGTATTTAAAGGGCCAGAAGGCTGAGAACCACTGCAGTATAAGGAGAGGTTTTGTGAACACGATGGATGTATACTAGTGGGGCACTTACACACTTTTCTGTTACACTCAGAGTCGACCGGGCACAACAGCAAAGCTGAGCCGCGTCGACAGGCCCTCCCCGGCCAGGACAGAGCCCAGGTGGGACCCGTGGGTGAGCACTCTCCCCACCCAGGCCTCACTCTGCAGGACAGACAGGGCCCTGGAGGGAACAAGGCTTCCCCCAGGGCTGCCCGGAGTCCCTGCACCTGCTGCCCGGGCCCTGCCCACGTACTCGTCGTTGAGGCCACATCTCCGGCTGGTGGGGTTCCCGTACTTCCGGAGGGTGTCGGTGAGCTCCTGGTAGAGGGTGTCCCCCAGGCTGCGGGGGATACCCTCCCAGGCGAGGATGAGGATGACGATCACGGCGTTCTGGCAATGGTGGCCCGCCCGGTGCCGCACCAGGCACAGCAGCTTCTCCTCCAGCGTGTGCCTGCGGATCACCTGCGGGGGCGCGGGCGGGGCAGGGGCGTTAACCACAGCGGGCCACACCCCCTCCTTCTGCCAACCAGACCTGGGGGGGCAGGTCTTTAGGGCAGCGTCCTGGGGGGTCACCACCACAGAGGCTGAAATCATTATAATAACAATAATTATTACAAAAGCTAAGCTATTCATGATTTACATAGACTTAGGAATACAGAGATAACACTGTAAGGCAAAATCTGTTGAGAATTTTGTCGTCCTAAAACACTTGCAGAGAAAATGCTGCCCGTCTGTATGTTTTTGGTTAAAAAACAAGGACCACGGTGCTGTGGGAAACCTCAAAAAGCTCAACGGACAATTCCCACGGAACTAGTCCACTCCACGCCTATGACCGGGAACCGAGAGCAGGGACGCGGACAGGTACTTGCCGCCCCGTGTTCCGAGCAGCTTCACTTGCCACAGCCAAAGGTAGAAACGCCCCTGCCCCTGCCTCGCCAGCCCGTTCCAGACGGGACAGGAACACCAGGAGCTCCGGGCACACAGGGCGGGCAGGGGAGTCAAAGAGTCGGCCACAGCGGGCGCAGACTTGGGGGAGACGCCATCTCCAGTTCCCCCTTTTCTTCTCTCTACAGCCCTGACCACGGGGACGGGATGAGCCGAGTACCATGGCTAGAGCGGTCCCGAGGCAGCCCAGGGTGCCAGGCCGGCATGTGCACAAAATGAGGACAAACAGCTGAGGCTGGAAGAAGGGACCCCGGCCGTGCGCCAGGTGCCAGCTCCGAGGTCCTGGCCAGTGGCCGTGTCGGCCTCCCCCCCACACCCAGCCCTGGAGAGTGAGGTGCGGCCGGCGGCGGGGTCACCACTCACCCACTTGGCGATGGGGCAGCCGCGGGAGCTCTTCCCCTCCTTCCCCGTGTAGATGACCTTCTCGATCCGGATGGCTTTCCCCTTCTCTCCATACCTGCAGAGGGAGGCAGAAGCACCAGAGCTCAGAGGAGCCAAAGGAGAGCAGGCGAGCTCCGTGGGTGCCTAGTGGCTGCAGGGGCCACGGAGGAGAGAGAGAAAGTGTAAATGCTGACTGTGTGCTAAGAGCCTCTGGGGACAGGGTGGCCACGGCCAGGCTCCCAGGGCTGCTGGTCCGTCGTGCCCAGCTCTGTCCAGGGAGAAGGCCAGCAGCACGCCCCTGATGGCCTCCGAGCCTCCAGGAAGGTGGTCAAGCCAAAGGCCAAGCGCAGGCCTTTGTGTCCAGCCCTGTGAGCCGAGTCACCCCGAGAGCTATTTATAAATTCGACAAACGAAAGAAAATAAACGGGGAAACCCTTGTTGTGCTCCTTCAACATCCCCTGGCTGGCAGTTGAACATGATGCGGACCATGGAGGCAGGAGAAGTGAAAAGGACACACTGGCTCCGCGATGCCCCCGGACAGTAAACACGCCTGGCTCCCCACACGCTTCTGCGGGCCCCACACACGGGCACACACGCGTGGATGCTGAGGCCGTCTGGTTAACCAAAGCACCTTCAGAGGGGATGCAACCAGGGCCCCGGAGCTGAGCTGACCTGCCCGGGGCCACGCAACTTCCTGGGGGTGAAGCTGCTTAAAGCGCAGTCTTGCAGGTCGGACAGACTGGGCCTGAGTGGAAGCCCAGCTACGTTCCTGCTCCAGGGACTGTGGCCAAATGACAGAACTTCTCCAGGCCTCAGTTTCCCCATCTGTAAAATGGAGATGAAGTGACTTCTTCCTCATGGGCCCGGGAATCGGTCACGTGAGGTAATCCACACGAGCGCGTTACTTAAAGTGCTTTCGAGTTCCTGGCACCAGGGACGAGTCCAATAAACATTAATTATTCTTTTTAAAAAAATATATATATTTTATTGATTTTAGAGAGGAAAGGAGAGGGAGAAAGAGATAGAAACATCAATGGTAAGAGAGAATCATTGATCGGCTGCCTCCTGCACACACCTCACTGGGGACCAAGCCCGCAACCCAGGCATGTGCCCTTGGCCGGAATCGAACCCAAGACCCTTCAGTCCACAGACCGATGCTCTATCCACTGAGCCAAACCAGCCAGGGCAACATTAATTATTCTTAATAATGTAAGCAGCCATCTTCCTGAATTGTCTTACTTTTAGTAGCTTTTTAGTTTCAGGTACAGGATCCTATCACCTGCAAATAGTGGTCGCTTGCCACTCCTGCTTTCCACGCTTTATGCCTCTATTTCAGTCTCTCGCCTCTGCTGGGCAGCTTCCGAGTGCCAGCAGGCATCTTTGCTTATTTCCTGACTTTTCCGGAAATGCTCCCAACCACTCATCACTGAGCATGAAGCCCACTGCCTCTGGGATAGACACAAGAACCTCCTGACTTTGAAAGGGTCTTCTGTTCTAAGGATTTTTAATCAAGAATTGATTACCTTTACTAACCAAGGTCACCCCCAACAAACGTAATCACATTTTAAAAAATGTTTCAAGAAAGAATTGATTCCTTTCATCAAATACATTCCTAGCATCCAAGGGGAGAGATGATGGAATGGTTTTTCTCCTTTGGTCAATTAGCATGGGATGCTATTTTAACAGACTTCCTAAATCAAACTGCCCTTGGATTGCTATAGTGAATCCAATGTGGTCACAGCATATTATTTTAGCATACGATTTCAGAGAAGGGAATGTTATCATGGCTATGGCAGTACACACTGTTAACATACAAATACAATTACACATATAGTCTGTCTCACTTACTCCACATCTAGACATCTCTACCTCAGAAGTAACTGTGCAAATGCACCAAGACTGAGGCACAAGATATTCATTGTTGCATCAACCAAAAAACATACAATCAGAAACAACTTAAGTGTCCAGCATAGGCCTGGCTCAAGAAAATACATTTCCATGCAATGGAAAACCATGCAGCCATGTAAAAGGACTCGACAGAATGACATGTACAGCATGGAAGAAATTAAGGGGGAGGGGAAGCAGTTGCAAACTGTGGGGATAGCGTGACTAATCCCATTGGGTTCACAATTTCTTTAAATCCATATGCATATCTTTGTAAATGCTCAGAAAAAACTGAAAGGTAAACATTTCTTTTAAGTTTCTTCCGGGAAGGCGAATCGCTAGAGAGCTTTATTCACTCTAAACTTTTCTTTAAAAAGGCCTTTTATGGACATGTTTTATTTTTGTAATTGGAAAAGAGAACGAGCAGTTTTAAAACCTGATCTAAGGTTTCTCTGAGTTCTCTACTTCGCGCAAGGTCTCCGTGAAGAAGCGAGAAGCGTTCCTGATAACTCCCACATTAAAGTGCTAAGGCCCTGTGATTCCCGTACAGCACGTGCTTGCAGACAGCACGCTGGGTGTGCACAGCGCGGCCTGGCTCAGGAGGACAAGACCGGAGGGTCCTGCTTTTGTCTGGGTCCCGGAAAACGCTGAATCCAACAAGATTTACCCGGAAGCGGCCGCGAGGGCAGAGGCTGGGCGCTCGGTGTGTGCTGGGCGCTGTGGGAAGAGCAGCCGGGGGTGACCACACTGCTCCCACCGGTCGGACAGGAAGGATACGGGGTTCCCCACGGAGGGTGAGCTGAGGACACCGTGCGGGCTTCCCCGCCATCCCACCCTCGCGAGGGCACTTCCTGCCGTGGGCCTCCGATTCCAGAGCAAACAGGAGGGCCGAGCACTGAATGCTCAGCTTAGACGTTCTTCTCCATGTTTAAAGAGAACCAACCAATTCCAGATGTAATTGTTTTTTTAATTTAAATGTCTGACTCTCTGGCCTATCATGAAGAGGCCCTTTTAGAAATACAGATGAATTCCCAGACCCTAAACTAAGTCTGCGGGACGAGGCTGAATGGAAACCTTATTCCCCGCGGTAACCTGATCATCCCAGCCAGTGGCTCTCCAAGGCTGTGCCAGGACCAGCACCACCTGCAACCCTGGGAGGAATGCAGGTGCCCGGGCCCCACTCCAGACTGTGAGGTTCGAGACATCTGTGCTTTCACAAGCCCTGCAGGAGACGGAAGCACATTTATGGGTGAGAACCACTGGTCTAAAGTGGTCCTTCTTCAGGGTTCCCTCTGTCACACAGTAATGAGACCTGCTCCCTCCCTCCCCCCGACACTGCGAGGAACAGGGCTGGTTCTTCATTCCTAGAATGAACATTTAGTGACCCCCTAGGCCAGTGATGGCGAACCTATGACACGCGTGTCAGAGGTGACACGCGAACTCATTTTTTTGGTTGATTTTTCTTTGTTAAATGGCATTTAAATATATAAAATAAATATCAAAAATGTAAGTCTTTCTTTTACTATGGTTGCAAATATCAAAAAATTTCTATATGTGACATGGCCCCAGAGTAAGTTTGGGTTTTTCAAAATGCTGACACGCCGAGCTCAAAAGGTTCGCCATCGCTGCCCTAGGCTGTGCAGGATCCCCGTCCAGCCAGAGGCCATGTGGCTCGGTGTGCACGCTGCTCCTATACAGGTCTGAAGGACTGATTGCAGTCGTCAGCGACCGTGAGGAGCTGGGGAGCCAGGAGGTACGGGACGCGTAATAAACTGGGGTCATATTTTGACTCCCCGCCCTTTCTCCAAGTGTTTACCAGGTAAGCTAAAAGCGCCAATGTCTCTCTGAGTCCAGTTTGCTTCCCCTCCTGCCTTTGGCTAACTCCTGGCAGTAGAGCAGCCCCGCAGAGAGAGGGGGAGGGCTAGGGAGAGAGACAGCCTGAGCCATGCACCAACTGGACCCCCACCTGGTTATTCTCAGCAATCGCTCACTCCCCTTCTTGTCCCAAAGGCAACTTAAGAGAGATGTTTATGTGAGAAATAACAGGGGATGGAGTCAGAGGAAAGGTGGGACAGACAGACACGATGTTGGTACACAGGATGCAAACAGTGGGGTCTTGCGTGTATTTTTGCGATGAGCCTGGGACATTTCATCACATGAGAAATCCAGGAAGCTAATGAGGTCTCCTTAGGGCGCTGTCAACAGGACTCAGGAGTGACCCTGAACAGGACCCCACGGGCCAAAGATCCCTCCTACTGGGGGTGCACCAGGGCACACAGATTTGGCTCTGGCTTACAAGCAACCAACGTAAAGATGCACACGCAATCTGTTGCATGATTTACAGGGTCCCCAAGATAAAAATAAACCAGTTGCTGAGGAAAAACCACAAGTATTCCTGGTCTTGAGAGGAATCCCTCCCTTGAATCAGCTTCTGAAGAATCTATGCTTGGCTGTTATTTTTAAAGCGGGGGGGGGGGGGGGGGGGGGAGAAAACCTCAACTTTATCACTATCTCTTAATCCTTGTTTCAAAAACACAGTCTTTTACAACTGAGAGTTATTTAGACAGCTATCTATAAATCTCATACATCTGCGACCAAGAAACACACACCCCCAAATTGTCCCAGATCAAACGTGTACATTTGCTGCTGTTGTTAAAGATTTTTAGAAAAAGTTTCTGAGAGGAAGGGAGAGGGAGAGAGAGAGAGAAACATCAATGTGCGAGCGAAACACTGATCGCTGCCTCCTGCAGGGCCTCCCACTGGGGATGGAGCTGCACCGTGGGCATGTGCCCTGACCGGGAACTGAACCAGCAACCTCTTGGTGCATGGGACGATGCATCACCTGAGCCACACAAGCCAGAGCCAAACTTGTACATTTGACCCCCCAACAGCCCTCAATCTGCTGTGAGGATTCCTTACAATAGTCAGTGGCCAAGATGCTGCCCCTCCCAACCTGCAAACTGCAACACACATGCGTGTGGACACATGCAGGCATGCGTGTACACCACTCACCCTGTTTTAAATCTGTTTCATTCCCGTGGACTCAGAGGTGCCCTTTCAATCAGGCTTGCAGTTAGAGACTGGGTCTCTAGTCACCTGCTTTTCTGATGGGCTACTTTGTATTTTTTTTAATATAATGTTTTTATTAACTTCAGAGAGGAAGGGGGAGGGAGAGAGAGATAGAAACATCAATGATAAGAGAGAATCATTGATCGGCTGCCTCCTGCACGCCCCCTACTGGGGATCCAGCCTGCAACCCGGGCATATGCCCTTACTGGAATCGAACCCGGGGCCCTTCAGACCACAGGCCGACGCTCTGTCCACTGAACCAAACCAGCGAGGGCTCTGATGGGCTACTCTGAATTAAATGCTTCCAGGTGGTACAGGATAAGTGAGAGTGATGACAGCAGATGACAGTCCTCCATCCATCTTACCTTTTACTCATTCAGGGATGCTCGGAGTTAGTTCAAAATCAAGTTCCCTGCTATATTAATGACAGGATTCGTCTGGCTTCCCTGGTCAGACAAAATTTGGTTCCCAAATTTGTGGAAACTTACGAACCACTCAGCCTCTGCCCCCCGCCCCGCCACCCCCACATATATATGAATAAACATGTTTATGTCTACACAATCTTTGCCTTTACTATTGAAATACTAATGCTTGTTATTAAAAAATGCAGTCAGTACATGTGGATGAGGGAGACACTCTACGCAGTACTTACTAATAAACACTAAGTGTTTTACCTACAATCGATCCAGTTTACCCTCACAACTCTCCACAGCGTGTGCACTTCTGTCAGCATCTCCATTTTGCAGATAAGGAAAATGGGTCCCAGAGAATCTGAGTGACTCGGCAGTAAGAGGCAGGGCCAGTCCAGCTCCAGTGGCCACATGCTCTCAACCCCTGAGCTATTTCACCTCTCCATATACTAGAACTCAGAGCACTGAACATCTGCTGTGGACACCTACCCAGATTTTAAAGTCTCTATCCATATACACTGCTTACAAAACAAAAACAAAAGACAGTTACTGAGTAAAAACCCGACAGGCTTGAGTTTGAATTGGAAGTGTCAATATAAATTCATGATGTGTTTAATCATCAAACAATGACAAAAATGAAAAACGTAAACACACATCTTCGCTCTTTCTACTGAAATGGTCCAGAAACAATGAGAGCCCCAGGGGCAATGAGCGTGCCCAGCACCCAGAGTCTGTTTTCTAAATCCTTTTATCCCACAATAAAAAGAAGCAGGATTTTTTGGGTAAACACACAATGTGAGCCCAAAACATGTCATACGAGAAATCAAGAAAGCTATTCAGGACACCTAGGATCATGTCGAAAGGACCCAGGAGGCAACCACTGGCCAAAGATGGGAGAGTACATACCTCCTAGCTGAGGTGCAAAATACCACCTATAAAGCAGTTTTTAAAAAAAGAAAGAAAATACAATCTGATTCTGATCAAGCCTTTAGCTCTAACTACCAATTTACAGCACGTAGGGCAGAAGACCATGTTAAACAATACCACAGAAAGCTAGCAGCAAAATCCAGACCGTGGGAAACTCTATAGGACATATAGCCATTCGACCACATTTCTTCAATAAACTATTTCAAGAAAGAGAGAGAGAAAAAGGGGAGAGGGGGGACTGATGGAGGGCAGACCTATAGAAAGAAAGAAACCCAGAAGTAATAGGGATGAAGGCCCTAACTGGTTTGGATCAGTGGATAGAGCGTCCGCCTGCTGACTGAAGGATCCAGGGTTCGATTCTGGTCAAGGGCACATATCTGGGCTGTGGGCTCGATCCCCAGTAGGGGATGTGCAGGAGGCAGCCAATCAATGATTCTCTTTCATCATTGATGTTTCTTTCTCTCCCTTTCCCTTCCTCTCTAAAATCAATAAAAATATATGTTAAAAAAGTTGGCATGAGAACCCCACATTCAACCTTCCACAGTCTGAATATCAATATTTCTTGATATCCAAGGCATGAAAATGAGAGGTGCTTAAAAATCCATATTCTATTAACAACTTGCCCATTTCTCCTTGGACATCTGCGCATCACTCACCGCTCCTCCATGAGTTCCCGGATAGAGGCTACCGTGGGGCCAGATCCCAGGTGAGTGTAATACGGACCTTCATCTTTCTCCACTATTTGTTCTGCAGAAACACAGAGGAAACATTAATTGGAGACACCGATTCATCAACATTCATTTGTTAAGGCAAACCACCAATAGGAAAATTAATGGGCATATTATAAAATAGGGAATTAAAATGGCTTATAAACATGTGACAATGTGTTCAACCCCATTAGAAACCAGGAAATACAAATTAAAATCACAACCAAATACCATTACATACAGGCCAAATTGGCAAAGTTTAAAAGTATAACCATGTTGGAATTTAGTTTATCCTCATACATATTCTAGACCAGGGGTCAGCCAACCATTCCACTCCAGGTATCTACCCACATGGACTGGAACCAAGGACCCAACAGTACCTGTATGCCCACGTTCATAGCAGCATTATTCACAAGAGCCAAAGACGAAAATAACACAAGTGTACATCAACAGATGAACCAATGTAGCCTCGCTGTACAATATTACCCTATGTAATAAAAGTGTACTATGCAAACAGACCAAACGGCTGAAGAGCGGAACGACCATCCGGATGACCATCCGGGGCCACACTATGACAACCACTGGCGCCAGGCCAGTCAAGGTGGGTGCGATGCGATTGGTTGGGGGTCTGGCCATCCCCTATGATCGCTCTGCAGAGGGAGGCCCAGGCCACTGACGGCGGGGCTGTGGCGGGTGGGCAGGGCCTCCTCCCTCTGTGAAGGAAGCCCGGGTCCCAGGTGCTGGAGGGAAGCCGGAGCCGGAAGCCGGAAGCCGGGGGAGGGAAGGCCTACTCTTGCACGAATTTCGTGCATTTGGCCTCTAGTTCTCCCATAAAAAGGAATAAAGTCTGGCTACAACATAGATGAAAACATTATGCCAAGTGAAATAAGCCAGAAACACAAAAGGGAAAATATTGCATGATTCCACTTACTGGTGTATGAAATATCTAGAATAGGCAAATTCACTGAGATAAAAACTAGAGGTTACCAGGGGCTGGAAGGAGTGGGGAAAGAGGAATTATTACTTAATGGGAGCGGTGTTTCTGTTTAGGGTGATGAATAGACTTTGGAGCCCTAACCAGTTTGACTCAGTGGATAGAGTGTCGGCCTGCAGACTGAAGGGTCCCGGGTTCGATTCTAGTCAAGGGCACATGCCCAAGTTGCAGGCTCAATCCCAGTAGGGGGCGTGCAGGAGGTAGCCAGCTGATCAATGATTCTCATCATTGATGTTTCTATCTCCCTCTCCCTCTCCTTTCCTCTCTGAAATAAAAAAAAATATATTTTTGTATAAAAAGGCTTTGGAATCAGATAGTGGTGATGGCTGCACAATATTGTGAATGTAATTAATGCCACTAAACTATACACTTAAAAATGGTGGAAAAATGGCAAATTTTATGTTATGTATATTTTAGCACAATTTTAAAAAGAAAGGAAAAGTACTGATTCATGCTACAATGTGGATGAACCTCAAAATCATTATGCTAGCCAGACACAAAAGATCACATACTGTTTGATTCCATTCATATGAATAAGTAAATGCACAGAAACAGGAAGCATTTTGGTGGTTGCCAGAGGCTGGGAGGAGGGAGAAATGGAAAGTAACTGCTTCATTTAATGGGTTTTTATTCTGAAGTGATGAAAATATTTTGGAACTAGACAGGTGGTGGTTATACAATATTGTGAATGGACTAAATACCACTGAATTGTTTACCTGAAAGTGATTAATTAATGTAAAGTTCACTAACATTTTTTTTTTAAATGAAGAAACTATTGATTCACACAACAACATGGATGAATTTTAAATCACCTTATCTAAGTGAAAGAAACAAGACCCAAAAGATGATGTAACAGTAACTCTGGAAAGCAGTATTTTGACTAGATACTTTAAGCCTAAAAACAAAAAGAACTTTATACAAATACTGTACTACAGCTGGGAAGTTTGTTTCATGTCGAAGGAGACATGGCGACTAAGTGCAATGTGCTGTCCTGCACTGGGTCCTAGAACAGAAAAGAGGCATTAAGTGAGTTTTAAAAATTGAGTTTTAAAAAGGTACCATCATTACGTGAGACATTTATATCAGGGGAAGCTGGGTAAAGGAGAGAGAGACAGGAACTCTCTGTACCAACTTCGTAACTCTTCTAGAAACGTAAAACTATTTGAAAATAAAAAGTTAAAAAAACAACAACAAAAAAACGACACAGGGGGCCCTAACCTGCTGACCAGGTCCCAGCGGAAACCTTGGCCACGTGCGTTAAAGCACGTACGAGGGTTTTCACAGCAGCACTATTTGCACGAGTCAGAACTGGAAGTGGCCCCTCGTCCAGCACCCGTGGGACGGAGAAATGAAAAGTCGCAGAGTCAGCTAAGGGCCTCATCCAGCAACGAGAACTGACAACTCGCAGCACCGTGGCTGAGCGCTCCACCACAGCCAGCGAAAGCAGCGCCGCACGGGGCAGGTGCGGGAAGGCCACGCTGAAATCACCCGCAAAACCAGGCTCCGCCACACCGTCCTGTTCACAGAGCCATAGGTGGTCAAATGACCAGCTTGGCATATAAAGTTGCAGATAGTCAACAATGTTTTACCCAAAAAAAAAAAGAAAGGCACTCTCATGTGGTTCAACCTCAAGGCAAAGAAAAACAAGGAAAATCACTGTCCCAAGTCGGGAGAGTGGCTACCTCCGCGGGTGGGAGAGGAAAGTGGTGGGAAGAGCCTCCAGGGGGCGCCTGGGGAACTGGAACGGCCTACGTCTTGGTCGAGGTGGTGGCTACACAAGGTGTTCATTTTATAAATGTTCATTACTCGGTATACGAAGGCCTCGTGTTCTTTCCTACACGGTGTACGGAACTCACAGTTTTTAAAACATAAAGAAAATAAGGTCATACCTATTCTGTACAGAACATTATGGGGAAACAAGACAGGTTAAAACCGACTGGGCCCCGAAAAAGTTTCTCATCAAGCTGGGTAGGTAAGACCCACACGTAAGAAGATAACTTAGGGCATTTCAGGTCAACAGGGTGAGAATTTTTAAATGCATGGTGTTGGGACAATGGGGGGCGGGGGAGTTTGATCCATACTTAGTGCCTTATCCCAAATACATTACAAATGGTGGGAAACTTTTAATTAAAAAAATTAAACTATACAAATTCTGGAAGAAAAAGAATGCAAGAGTTTTTAAAATAATCACGGAAGTGGTAAGCTCTTCTCTACGTATAACATGAAATTTAGAAGCCATGTACATATACAAAAAAACCCTGGTAGATTTAACTAAAGAAAATTTTACAGTAATTACTGCCAAAAGTCAAGCCAAAAGACAAATACCACACTAGGAAGGAATACTTTAACCTTACACCAGATAAAAGGCAAATTTCCTTAATAAGTCAAGAGCTCCTACAGTGAAATAAGGCCAATCACACAAACGGAAAATGAAAAACAAAAACAAAAAGGATAACAATGGTTCTCTGAAAGGGAAATGAAAGTGGCCCAAGCCTATGTACAGGTACCAGTTTTACCATCAGATGACTCACCATCACAGTCTGGTAACTCCTTGCGTTGGTGAGGGTTTAGGAAAACGGGCAGCGTGGACAGTAATTTAGCAATATACTGAAGTACAACTGCCCAATCCATTTAACGCAGCAATTTCAGAGAATGTCAAATTCTAAGAATTCATTTCTAGGAACTTGGCTCTATTTTCACATGTACAAAATATGTACATACAAGAATGCTCACTGCATCATTTGTAATGGCACAATACCGGAAATCTAAATGTCCATCATACAGCAATTATATTATGTGTTATAAATGCATGATGGCGCATCCATATAATAAAATACTAAGCAGCTATCCAAAGGGAATTGGGCAGCTCCAGATAAAAACATGACCTCTAGGTAGTTTAAGTGGGAAAACAAACAAGTTTCAGTATCTATATACATATAAAAAGCCAGCGACCAGAACTCCGAAATGAGACCGACCGGTTGTTATGACGATGCCCACTGCGGCCAGTGAACTGACCCGATCAGGGGTGAGGCCAGCGGCCAACCTCCCGTGCCCTCACCGCCCCCCCCTCCACCCCCCTGGCTGGCCCTGCCCTGATCAGCCTTTACCACCCCTGATCAAGGGCAGGGCAGCCGGCCAACCCTCCCCCCCCTGCAGCCCTTCCCCCCAGCCGATCCTGCCCCTGATTGCCCCCCCACCCCAATAGGGGGTGGGACCGGCCAGTTAACCTCCTGCAGCCCCTCCCCACAGCTGGCCCCACCCCCGAACAGCTCCCACCACCCCGAATGGCCTGCGGCCCCTCCCCCAGCCAGCTCCACCACCAATCGGCCACCCCCACATCAATCGGGGGTGGGGCTTGCCGGCCAACCTCCCACGGTCTCCTTCTCCCAACAGGCCCGGCCCTGATCCGCTGATTGGGGCCGGGCTGGCTGGACACCACCGTGCACGAATTTGTGCACTGGGCCTCTAGTAGTATGTGTAACAGGCTAGTTAGTGCACACATACAATCACACATATATCAGTATATATGTACACAAATGCAAGCATAAAGGTGTATATGCCATTACCCACCCTGACAATAAGTGTAAGAGCAAGTTTGCAATGGTACGTGCAGCCCAGTGAATTGATGGGAGTTGCCTAATAGTTAGGGCTTCCGCTGACGGAGGCTCTCCATCTCCCCCTAATGTCCTAGGTCAGGCTCTGGGCTGAATTATTGTCATGGGTCTCCTAACTGGTTTCTCTCCTCCTACTACCTCATCCTACCCACCACCACTTACACTCCCCCAAACAGAAATCCGGTCATATCCCTTCCTACCGATGACTCCACGCTAAAGAGAAGACAGAACCCACATTCCAGATCATAGTGCCTAAGGGCCCCAGCGGAGCCATTGCTGCATACCTCCCAGCCTCGCATCCCGCGACGGCCACCAAGCTCCTTCCACACAACCAGGCAACATGCCTGTGTGTCATGGACAACAGTGCCTTCCTATACTTCTCTCTCTGGAAAACTCATCTCTTAGGGCCTAGTATAAATGCCTCCTTTTCTGTGAAGCCCTATTGGACCTCTCAGGCTTGTTTTCCCTGATTCCCAGAGCCTTTTGCATAGAACAAAAACATCAAAGCAAGTATCACGGGACACTTTTATTATTAACACGGAACAGCAGAGTGAGCATGGGTTTTGCAGACCAAGACCTGAGCAACAGTGACGAGTTACCTTCCCAGCCTCTCTAACCCTCATGCCTTTCACAGGTCTAAGTGCAGTATTTGGTGCCTTATATGAACTCAATAGGTACTGTTGTCCAGACTCTGCCAAACAAATTGTGTGATTGTAGTCAGTGACTACAACCCTTATAAGCCTCAAAGCAGTTGAAATAATCTCTACATTATAGAATTGTTGAGTATTAGATGAGATGTGAAGTAAGCTACCTCGTACAGTTCAACAAATCAGTGCTTAAATATTTCACGAATGAATATTTTCAACTGAAGGATTAAAAATGACTTGCTACAAATATTCACTATTTTGAACCACAAGACAGAGAGACTTACGGGGGATGCCTGTGAAGGGGGGCGGGGAGAGAGAAGGAGGCGGAGGAGGGACAGGGAAAGAGAGTGTAAGAATGCCGGTGTTGGAGGGAGGGTCTGAGAGCTCTGTATAGGCACCAGGATATGACACGGCATGCAGAAAATAGAACATAAGAACATGCCAGAGCCTCTGGGCTCTGTTCCAGGTTCCATTGTCTGGAGAAAAGTCAACGTAATGGATTGAATGCAGGGTCTTACACTGGAGCTAGAACATGATAATGTAGCTTTTTTGGTGACTGCCTTGCATCCCAAATCAGAAAAACTAAAAACTTACAGTTAAGGACAGAGAAAGGAGATTTTCAAGAAGGTGCAAAACCAAATCTTGGCAACCCCATCCCAATAGCTAGGAAAAAAAAGGTATGAAAATCCCAAACCAAGCCAACCTGGAAATGGAGTGGTCAGGTTTCTCTGGGAAAGGCCATGAAAACATGAAGGGCAGACAAAGCCCCAACTATCAAACAAAACCGGGCACTCTCTCCCTTTGAGCAGTTTACAAGGCAACCTGAGGACTCGTGAATGGTCTCACTCCTCCTACCTCATCCTACCCAACACCACCACTTACACTCTCCCAACCAGAAATCCGGTCATATCCCTTCCTACCGATGACTCCACGCTAAACAGAAGACAGAACTCACATTCCAGATCATAGTGCCCAAGGGCCCCCGTGGAGCCATCGCTGCATACCTCCCAGCCTCGCATCCCGCAACGGCACCAAGCTGAGCAAAGAGAAAAAGAGGGCCTGTCTGCAACCCTGACTTTCCAAAGAGCATGGATTCTAGATGGGTTGTCTCCGGCCTATCTTTCCAAGCTGTGGGCCCCTTCGAGCCTCCACTATTGTGCTTCTCAATCCTGGGAGTTGTATACCCCATGTCATCCTTTATTTCCATTCAGATTGACCTTTTCCTGGCAGACAGCCCTTGAAATTCATGTGTTACCATTGGGGCTATTTCTAAATTTCAGTTGATGAAATCTCTCCTCTATTTTTTCTTTTTTTTTTTTCTTTTCTCCCCCACCCAGTTTCAGGGCAGGGACATTTTGCTATCTTGCTGTTAAGTCACCCTTTTCCCTTTAGTCCCCGTATAGTATTTCTTCCTTCTCCACGGAGGTAAAGTGACAGAGCAAGAAAACAGCTCAGCCCTTCTTCACGAAACATGGGTTTCTCGGCTCACTGTGAGCAGGAAGGGCAGGAGTGAAGCCTTTTCTAAAACACACAGGAGAAAGCTCTGGCGTGGAGCTGGGGAAAGAAAAATCCAATCCTTGACCAACTGGTGATGTGCACTTTGCCCTGTGCACTTAACTTTATACTCGTTAAAATGGAAAATACGCTCCGTTCCCCCTCTGCTCTCGGCTGGGAGAGAATGAAACGTATCCTCTTCTCTGTCAGCTAGAGATACTGAGCAGGAGAAACTCCTTCCTGCCCAACAGGAAAAGGGACCCTTAATGTCTAAACAAACCTTCCACTGTTCCTTCTCTCTGCACAGAGACTGGGCACCCGCACGTTCCCAGGGGGACCTATGCCAGGTACAGATATCGACTGAGGAATTTCTTCTCTTGATGACACTGACACAGAGGGGCAGTCGATAGCTGACGTACAATAGTCAGGTGTCAAGATCACACAAAGGTTTTCTTTGCCCCCACAAGCCTATAGAATGCCTCAGTTTCCTGATGGAATGCTAGAGGCCTTAAAGCCAAACGGCTTAAGCTTCTGTAACGAATGAGGATCTACTTCCACGGCAGTGGATGGCTGCTAGCGTGACACCTCCTGGCAGTCACACATCCACACGAGGGAAGGCAGATGGTTGGGCCTCCCCTGGATCAGGTGTGCCAGATGAACTTCTTTTTAAAATTCAGGTCTCTAAACTCTCAGGTCAGCTGCCTGTACGTCCCTGGGTCGCACGCTAGGTCTGCAGGTAGTAGACAGAAATACCTTTATAACAATGGGCACATGCTCTGATGATAAAGATTAAAGGTAAGGGGATCATGCCTAAACTGATCTGGTGTCTTTGTGGAATTTAAATAGGGCGGTAGAATAAGGTGGACCAGTTAGCCAAAAAATAACATGTGGAGAGCTTATCCATAGGCTCAGCACCAGTCTAGATCAGCCGTGGGCAAACTACGGCCCGTGGGCCGGATCCGGCCCGTTTGAAATGAATAAAACTAAAAAAAAAAAGACCGTACCCTTTTATGTAATGATATTTACTTTGAATTTATATTAGTTCACACAAACACTCCATCCATGCTTTTGTTCCGGCCCTCCAGTCCAGTTTAAGAACCCATTGTGGCCCTCGAGTCAAAAAGTTTGCCCACCCCTGGTCTAGATGCTTTAGAAACAATATTCCGTTCCTGTTTTTAAAATTTTAATTCTCACCCATGGATATGTTTTCATTGTTTTCTGAAAAGAGAGGAAGGGGGAGAGAGAGGGAGAGAAACATCAATCGGTTGCCTTCCCGAATGCACCCCAACCAGGGATGGAATCCACAACCTAGGTACGTGCCCTGACCGGAAATCGAACCCACAACCTGTTGGGGTATGGCATGACGCTCTAACCAACTGAGCCACCAGGCCAGGGCACTCCCTATTTTTAAGGAACCTGGGATTTAATTTCAAAGACTAGTGCACATATAATAAATAATGTAAGACAAAGGAGAATCCAGCATTAAATCCTGACCCTTCTCCAATACGGGTGCTGCCAGCCCTCTCAACCTCCCACTGTGTCTGTTGGTCCTTTAGCCTCCCCTCGCCTCAGTTTCTTTCCACATCTCTTCCCCAACACCCCATTTCCGTCTTCTCCCCGAAATGCCAGTATCCTGCATTCCCAGGTCTCTTCTTCATCTACATATTCATCCTGGTGAACTGTCCCTAATGGAAACGTCAACTCCCATCAGTTTGCTGAAGAACCACCAAGTCACAGATCCAACCAGGTACACACACACCTCCAGACACCTCAACGGCTGCGTGTCCAAACTCGCTTCCCTCCCGCATTTCAAATCTCGGTGAACGGCACCCCCCCCCCTTCCCCCCCCAGTCAGCCAGCCTAGAACCTCAGAAGTCACCTGTGACTGATTCTTCCTCTTTCCAAATCGAACTGGTCACCAAACCACTTTGTTCTTTTTCTTATTCCTTCTCTTACACCCCCTCCTCCTCTCCCTCCTCCTCGATGCCCTGCTTGGTGCAGGCACATATTATTTCTTGCCTGAACTTCGCCTGAGCTTGCAAACTGGTTTCTCTGCCTTTGGTACCATCCCTGCTTGCTACCCCGAAACTCCTGCCACTCCCAATCTTTCATCTAACACACCGGTCACACCAGAACGACTTGCATTTCCCCATGTTTTCTCATCTCCACATCTTCATGTCCCTTTGCCTGGAACACTCTACCTTCTCCCTCTTAATCCATTTCACTTCTACTTATCCTTCAAAACTCAGATGAGACATCACCTCCTCCAGGAAGTTCTTTCTGATACCCTCCCACCCAGAGTCAGATTCCCCACCTTTATACTGGTGTCCAAATAGCCTATTGTCCTTAAAAAAAAATTTTTTTTTTAAACGATGAAGTTCCTCTTTATCTCAAACTGAACGCAAGGGGGAAGGGAGGGTTACATTCTCATAAAAACGACAGGAAGTAGATTTTACAGGGTTGTAAACAGAGGAGTCTCTGTGTCCCCCATTCAGAACTGTGGTCCATAGCAAAGTAACCCCGTGGGTCCTGCTGTCGGCCACCTTTGCAGGACAAGCTCCCTCCCTCAGCCAAACCTTCTCCACATTCCAGGCAAATGAGATTGTTTTTCTTATATTGGTCTTTGGCTACTTTTTGGGGGCAGGATGACCAACTGGATAAAAATACAGCATTTCTATGCAGGCAACCCCTAATATCTCTGTCTCCTAATCTGTTTACCGCTGCCTGTGGGCTGTGCCTCAGAGAGATCAGGACAAGACTTAAAAGTTTACACAGACCTGTTTCCTTATCTATAAGATGATAAGCAGATGACCTCAAAGGATGCTTTTCCCACTACAATGTCCTCTGGACTCGCCCCCTGTCCTAAACTGGCTCTCCTTGTGAATTTCCCCACTTCTGAGAACAGATAAACTACAAAAGGGCTTGGCCAACAGTCCTGTGCTGATAAGTTCTCTACAGCTCGCTGTCCTGCCTCTGACAGTGCTTACAGGATGGGTCAGGGTGGTCAGCAGGATCTCAGTGTGCCTCAGAGTAACTAACTCACTGTAGAACTTCAACATGTGCTACGTTTTCTCAAACCTGAATGTATCATACTACCTTCTGTGGTAAGGCATGGTCTCTCACGACTTTTATTTTTATTTCTTTAAAGCTTCAAAGAGTGCCTTTAATTCTAGCATTTCCAGATTCAGAGAACAAGTCCATATGAACCCCATCCATACCTTCAGAAACCCCTGGTCTTCATACAAGGCTAAAACAATGCTCTTGGTGCTTGGATTTTTGGTTACCTGGTGATGCCTGTATTGGCCAAAACTGCTTATTTGGTAAAAATCACCATATACCTTGAATACCACGCTCTTTTGCTATGCTATAAAACCTCTTTATGCTTTTATTTTTTTAATGTTTTTTTAAGATATATTCTTATTGATTTCAGAGAGGAAGGGAGAGGGAGAGATAGAAACATCAATGGTGAGAGAGAATCATTGATTGGCTGCCTCCTGACCGCCTCCTACTGAGGATCGAGCCTGCAACCTGGGCATGTGCTCAGAACTGAGCCCAGAACCCTTCAGTCCGAAGGCCGACACTCTAACCACTGAGCCAAACCGGCTAGGGCTCTTATGCTTTTATAAAGTTGTTTCTATAGTACTTATTGATCACTTATTGTGAGCACTTCATGGCATCTCCAAATTTCACTGTCACGTCGACGGGAATTCTTTCTTACACGGACATACAGTCTGCACCCCTCTACCTGTCCCTGCTGAGGGGTGAGTTTGTGAAACAGAAGATGGTTCCCATCTGACATGAATCCCAGCGTGAGCAGCTTTATTCCTAACCCCTGTCCTCAGCCCAAGTTCACAGAGACAATTCAGCCAATACCGGTTGACGGAAGGCCCTGTCCAGACCTGGGGTCCTGCCATTTCTGGAAAATAGGGTGGCTTTCCCTCAGCACCTCCAGAAACCGTCTCCAAGTGAGTCCCTTCTTCTCTGGCCCTCTTCATTCCTGCTGCCACTGTTTGAGTCAGGACTCATTTCTCAACTAAACCATCTCAGTCACTGGGTTCAAATCTCACTCCCACCATTGCTAGCCTATGGCCTGGGTAAATCACCCCATCTAACCTTGCTCTCTTCATTAAGATGGGACCACAGTACGAACAGTCCCCACCTCACATACATGTCATGAGCACTGGATGAGACGGTGACTGTTGGGTACTTTGCACTGTGCCTGGTACACAGCAAGGTTTCATCATTATTATTATTCTCTATTTTTTTTTAACTTAGGTGAGATGATCATGTATATACTATTTGTGCCTGCTGTTTTCACTGAACCTTTTCCCATAATTTAACATTTGACAACACAGCTGGTGGATTTGTTTCTAATTGTTTAGCATTAGACACGCCTGCAGCAATAAATGATTGGCGGTTCGAATCTCCGCCCCCTTTATCTCTTCCCAATGCCCCTGTCCTCATCTGCCAAGGCAGCAGCTGTCAGTGCTGCCAGCGCCGGGGTTTCTCTCGTGCTGACAGCCTGCGCTTCTGCTCACGAGCTTCAAAGCTGCCGCGGGGTGGGCGTGGGGTGGGCGTGGGGATGGGGGCATCTGGTGCAAGGAAGGCAGGAGAACGCTGAGGGGTCAGGTCCGCCCGGTGCCATTGGTCTCACAGCCCATAGCTTGCTCCTCGCTGCCCTAAGACTGTGCGCATGCACTCCTCAGCCTGGGGCCCCCTTCTTGTCTCTCCCCATCTGTGTTCACTGCATTTTGCAAGAACCAACTCTGAACGAGAATTTGTTAAATGAAACATCACCCTCCATAATGACAGCCCGCCTGGTGCTTCAGAGACTCTCACGGTTCAGCCGCTGCCACAGAACAGCACAGGTCCCTGGCGGACACCTGATGAACGGGCGACTGAATATTGTGTTGTTTCTTCAAACAAACCCCAAGTCCTTCAGCGGTGAACTATTTCTCTTAATTTTTATTCCTATCAGCAGCTAGCACAGAGCTAATCAATACGGATTGATGCATTGTGCACAATTCCTTTAGAATACGTAGGCTTTTACTTCTTTCTCTTGCCTTATTGCATTCCACAGGCTCGACGACAGCTAACGCTTTTAGAGTGCGCGCCAGGCACCAGGCAGGGTCCTCAGCGCTTCACGCGTACTAACTCATTGACTCCTCACGACAACCCCGGAGGAAGGGATGGAATTAGAACTCATATTTTAAAAAAGCTAGTTTGATCAAACACAATGCCACATAACTGAACCCAACAATTAAAATATCTATGAAGGATCAGCTGTTTCCTACGTGCGGGGTAAGGATACTTCCTAGCCTGGAGGGGGAGGAACACCGAGACCCCGGCAGCGGGGACGGGTACGTACACACACGACAAGGGCCAAGGGAGCCCAGCTCCCGTGACCAGAACAAGCCTCTCCCAAATGCTGGGAAACAAGAGGCCCTCAAAGTCGCATCCTCATTCGTCAGGTCCAGGCTTAGGCTTCGGTGGGAACCACAATCCTGGGGCACGTCTGTGAGTGTCCGGAGGGCCCGGCCCATCTGTTCGCTCCCGGACAGAAGCCCTGGGCCCACTCTCCCTTGCTCCCCAAGTAGGTCCTTGTCACTGATGCTTCTGCCCCGCACCCCAGGAGTCTGGGGAAGCTGCACGGGCAGGACAGCCCAGCTCCTCCTCATCGGCAAGAACTCAACATGCTCCTCACCGGCATCAACGTGGTTTTTGGTCAACATCCGAAACACACGTATCTTCTAGTCCAGTGATGGCGAACCTTCTGAGCTCGGCGAGTCAGCATTTTGAAAAGCCCTAACTTAACTCTGGTGCCGTGTCACATATAGAAATTTTTTGATATTTGCAACCATAGTAAAACAAAGACTTATATTTTTGATATTTATTTTATATATCTAAATGCCATTTAACAAAGAAAAATCAACCAAAAAAATGAGTTTGCGTGTCACCTCTGACATGCGTGTCATAGGTTCGCCATCACTGTTCTTAGGGAATGCTCCACAAATACCAGAGAACTAGAGTCTGCAGCGGACCTGGAGCCAGTGTATCAGTGACCCCAGCGCCCCCCTCCGCTGACCGCCCCCACCTGCCCCAGACAGCGAAGTCCATGGGCGCGGTCCTCACAGGCCCGGGACTGCTCTTACTCTGGAAGGCAAGACACAAACCAACCCTTCAGTGCTCTCTCACACACTACAGCTTCAGCCACCACCTGGACGCTAACTCCATCCCAACCCCTAACCCAGCTTCCAGTTTCTCAGCCCCTTCTAACTCAGCTCATCCAAACAGAACTCATCGCCTCACCTCCAAACCTGTGTTCTCAGGGACCGTCACCCAGGTAGAGACCTGGGTTGTCCTCATCCCCACATTCCCTCCTCCTCAGAGGCCCTCCAACCCATTCACTCTTTCAGTCCAGACTCTTGTGATTTCTTGCCTGGCTCAAGACACCTTCCTTACAGGTCCCTGCACCAACCCTTCCTCTCCAGCCCAGGCCGGAAGAGTTGTAGAAGCAAAAGGTCATTACTTGCTTTAAAGCCCTCAGAAGCTCACTAGTACCTATGCAATCAAGTCCCACGCCCAGGCTTGGCTCACTGGGCCCTGCGAGATCTGGCCCCTGCCTGCCTCTCAAGTGGCCTTTTGTTTATCCCACACACGCCCTTCCCTTTTTGCTCCTCCCAGAGCAAGACGGTCCAAATAAGCCCCACCCCCTCATAGGCACCAAGCTCAGGCTCCAGAACCAGCACCACCTCCCACAGGAAGGCCTCCACGGTGCCTTGACCTCAACCATCTGTGCCTACCTCTACGGACGGGGACATGCCTGCGTGAACCACAAAGCATCAGCATTCGTCTCCTTCGATGCCTTCTCCACTAGCCTGTGAGCTCACTTCTGCGTCCCCAGCCCCCAGCGGGGTGGCTGGCACACGGGAAGTGCTTGCCAGATGAAAGACAGAGCCCCAGGAGCCCACGCCTGGGCCACAACCCTCTGCCCGCCGCCCGACCCCCAGGAGGAATTACCAACACAGTCGCAGGTGGGGAACTCGGCCTGGGCTCTCTTGGCAGGTGTGTCCAGCAGACTCTTGGTAGGTGTGTCCAGGTACTTCAGCGGCGACTCCAGGAAACCACTGAGGGTGGGTGTGAGTGGGTTCTCGGCCTTGGTGGGTGTGGCCTCCTGGCCTCCCTCCTCTGAATGGAAGCAGGTGGTTGAGAGCACGGTCACAGCTCCCGAGGATTCGATCTTGATTTGCTTGGGGGAGCGGGTAGCCAAAGGGCTCTCGGGGGCTGGGAGACACATTGGCTGGTTCTCGGGGTCCTGAACGGGCACATTTGGGGGGCCAGGAAGCCCAAAGCTATCCCCAAATTCAGCTTCAAATTGCCGGATGAGCTCTTCCAGCTTGTCATCGGCGGGGGGGAGAGGGCCAGCAGAGCCTGTCTGCAGGGTTGCCATGGGGCTGGGGGACCTCATTTCCTGAGTAGGGGGCAGCAGGCTGTCCCCGGAGGGACTAGGTGCAAATAGCGCAAGAGAAGGTTCTGGGGGCAGGGGGGCAGCAGGGCCCTGCGAGGCAGGGGCGGGGGCAGGTGGATGTGCCTGCGCATCCTCGGTGGCCGGGGGCCTCAGCCCTTCCAGGACAATCTGCCGCAGAGGCGGGAAGAGGGGCTGCGCTTCCCGGGGCCTGGACTTCTTGATCTGAATGGGCTTCCGGACACTGGGCTTACTCCCGGGAGTGGCTTTCTCCGTTCCCAGGGCCCCTCCGGCGGGTGTCAGGGGCTTCTTCTTCTTCTCTTTGGGCGGCCTGTCGGGAGGCCGGGGGACCAGTGAGCTGGACGGTGCCCACCAGCCGGGAGCAGGCGGCTCTGAGGCAGCGGAGAAGGAGGTGTTCTGGGCCTGGTCCAGGAAGAGGCTGCGCTTATGGTGGAGGTGCTGCTGCAGGGCGGCCTGGGCCTTCTGGTGGGCGCTCGGCTCCGGGGATGGTGTGGGGGCCTCCCTTTGGAGAACGGGGGATGGGGCTGGCGAGGAGGAGGGAGCCTCAACCTTGACTTTGGGCTTGGTGGGCAGGGCCTCGGGCCGTTTGAATACTGACTGGATGTAATCACTGGCACTGCCCAACAGCTGCTCCAGCTCAGCCATGGGGTCGGGGCTGGGGCGAGGCATGGGCCAAGAGCTCCGGGGAGTTGCTGGTGGGGTGTCAGTGCCCCAGGCTTCGGGAAACTCTGTTCTAGGAGTTGCTGGGGGGAAGGCAGGGCTCTCAGGAACAAAGGGTGCGGGCTCTTCGGGGGGGACCGCAGGCCACGAGGGGGCCCGGAGGTAGGACTGGGGAGATCTGAAAGGGGCGGCAGGAGGGGACAAGGCCTCAGGAAGCGGGCAAGAGGCCTGGGAGGCGGAGTGAGAAGGCTGAGGGAGGGCAGAGGAGAGCTGTGTGAGGGCTTCGATGGCGATGGCGGTCTGCAGGCTGATGTTTTTTTCCTTGGCGATACTGAGGGCGTTCTGGGACAGAGGCAGGCCCTCTGGGGGAGGGATCTGGGGGACCTCAGAGCCGAGGAGTGGCCTGGTGCTGGGTGCTGGGAGGCTGGCCTCACTAGGGGGCAGAGCCCCTGGGAGCCGGGGCCGGTCCTCCCCTCCCTCCACGACCACAGACTTGATCTTCCCCTCCAGCCACTCGAGGTAGTCAGGGCATTCCGGCCCGTCGCAGTTGCAGTTGGGTGGTTTCATGCCATGCCGCGCGAGGGCCAGGGCTGTCTGCAGCGTGTCGAGGTCTTCGCTGCCGGCCGAGCAGCTCTCGGGCCCTGACCGGGGTCCCCTGCTGTTGTTCCCAGCCTCGCGATTCATCTCACGGTTGAAGGTTTCATAGAGCCGGGTGCTAAGGGCCCCGTAAGAGGACACGGCTTCGGCCACAGCCGAAAAGGCCACCAGGTCGTGGGCATCTTCCAGGCGAGCAGTGTGAGCTGGGCCTGGGGTAGCGTCCCAGTCGGGCTTCTGGTCTACTCGCCAAGGACCTCCAGCCCCCAGCAGGCTGGGTCCAGCGGGTTCTCTAGCACCATTGACCGGCGCCCCTGAGGCGCTTAGCTGCCTGGAGTCCCCATGGTACACTGGCCCTGAGTCCATCTGACCTGGAGCAGGTCCATCAACTGGGCTGAGCTCTGAGCCTGTCTGGAGAGAGAGAGAGAGGAAGAAAAGGGAAAAAGATGAGTCATAATATCAGAACAGCTTATTCTGCTTCCCACCACTCAGATGCACACCCGAACCCTGCTTTTCTGGCAAACTCTCTGCCCCCGACATACCCTGAACCTCGGCCCATGGGCCCCCATCCCCTTTCCCCGCCAGCTGCACCCGTGAAGAGAGAAGGCAGATCTTTAAGGGCTCCTGGCACGGAATTCTGAATGTTGCTCAGACGTTTTGGAGCCTCAGACCCATCACACTGACCAGGCTGCCCTGACACTAAGCGTTTATTAAGGACACACAGAAAGGCCTGTAGCTCCCAATGCCCCAGGTGACGCCAGGACCATGTTGGTTTTATTTTTTTGTCAGAAAGGAGGCTCCCCGAGCACACCAGGTGACAATGTGCTGTAAGAGTAAAGCACGCGTGACCTATCTGACTGGATGAACACACTTAGCAGACGGGGGTCAGCCAGAGCTTCTCCGTGGGAAGGCAACCACAGCTCTTCCCTTTACCCATCACGGTGCTTCCTTAAGCCCAGCGCCAGGCCCGAGGGAAATGCTGACGACCGGACCTGGCCATGTTCTGCCCCATGCTGAGCCAGTCCTGTGGATGAGAAGCCCGTTACTGCTTGGAGGAAGATCCAGGCCCCGCCCCAAGCCCAGGAAGTTGATGTCCACCAAAGCACACGGCAGGGGGGCGGGGGCAAGTCCAGGGGGCCCAGCCCAGCCAGTGAAAAGCTAATACAGAGATGCAGAATTGAGGTTGCAAGATTCATCCCTCCAGAGAGGAAAGCTCTTCCTTATAGCAGAATGCCAACTATATGGCCTAAGCGACCGAACGCGACCCGTGAAGTGGTCACTACGATGAGCACTGACCACCAGGGAATAGACGCTCAACGCACAAGATTAGGCTCCCTCCTGTCTGGATCGGGCCTCCAGGGATGGGGGCAAAACCAGCTCTCCGACATCCCCGGGGGGTCCTGGATTGCGAGAGGGTGCAGGCCAGGCTGAGGGACCCCACCGGCGCACGAATCCACGCATGCTGCAACTAGCAGGTGAAAGCTTGATGAGGCACAGGATGTATACGTGGTCTCAAAACACTGTCCTCAAAAGTTACTTCGTTACAACAGTAACTTTAAGAAATTCTAAATTCCAGTTTCCTGGCCAGCGGAGCCCCCTGACACACTCCCCGCACTTGCTGGTGATCCTGGAGGAAACTTGCCATCAGGGGAAGGTGGCAACCGGTGGGAAAAGGGCAAGTGTTGACTCCAGCTTTCAGGGCCCAGAGTGAGAACAGCCCCAGGTAAGGTTCCCCAGGAGGAAGTCTGAGAGACGCCACCTTTACCAAGTTATCGTCACAAATATCGGGCAAGCAGCACGTGCCTTCTGATATGCTGTATGGAGAAGGGTATAACACCAGTCACACAGAACTCCAGCTAAAACCTATCGCCCAAACCTAATCACGAGGAAACGCCAGGCTAACTCAAACAGAGGGCATGCCAGAAAGCACCGGGACTGTCCGCTTCAAAAACTGCAAAGACAGACACATCTCTCCCAGCTTCCACGAGACTATGGAGACAGGACAGCAATATGCATGCTCACGGGTTAGACCTCGGACTGGGGGGGAATGGCCATAAAGTACGTCACTGGGACGATGGATGGAATTTGAATTTGGATACGAAGAAGACCATACTGTGTCCACCTGAGTCTTCTTGACTGGGATCATCACACCCTGGTCCTTGTCCTTAGGACACACACACACTGAAGTACTTCTGAGTAAAGTTTCACCGTATCTCCAGCTTAATCTCCGATGGTTCACAAAAGAATACAGTCACCAGCCACTTCATGACGGGGATATGCTCTGAGAAATGTGTCAGTAGGTGATGCTGTCATTGTGCAAACATTGTCGTGTGCACCTGCACAAACCTAGATGGTGTCGCCTACTACACACCCAGGCCATACGGTATACCCCCCGCATTCGCATATGGGGCCCATCGTTAGCCGAAACGCCATGCAGTGCATGACCGTATATCCATATGTAAAAATAGACACGCACAGAGAAGATGATAAAGCCAGTCAGGCAAAATGTAAAAAAATGTGGGTCTGTGGGAGTCCCCGATACTCTTCTTGCACCCTTTTTAAAGTCTTAAAGTTCTATCAAAATACACAGTTGCGTGGCGCTGGTGGCTGTGGGCAGGGAGGCGGGAGAGCGAGGGAGGGGGAGAGTGGGGCCAGTGTAGGCCCTTTCAGATTCCCAGCTCAGACAGGCCCCAAGGCTTGTACCCCTCCCCAGTTTCTGCCTCAACTGCCCCTCCCCCGGGGTTCAGCAACCACGTTCTGGGGATGCGCCTTACTAGCCGCCCTCTGTCTGCACCTCTCAGCTGACCTCCATGAACTCCAACCCCTGGAACGGGAGGCAGCTCGTCTACAATGGAACTGACTCCCCTCCCCACCTCCAGCAGCTCCTGCTCCAACCCTCCTATTTCTGCCAGTGTCCCCGCACTCACCAATGTCCCCAACCCAAGCATCATCCAGGTTCTTCCAACACACCGGGCACCAGACCCAAACAACTCTACACATGGATGCCTCTCTCTCCCTTCTCTCCCTTTCTGTTCCTGCTCTCCTCATTTGGGCCTTGGTGTGTAGGCACATTTTTATTTTATTTATTTTTTGTATGCATATTTTTAAATTTTCCAACCTGACAGTGGCTCCTTTAAGCAACTCTACATACCCAAGTCCCCCCCGCCCCCACCTGCACAGAATCTTTTCTCCTACAATCTATTGTTGATCATATCTCACCCTCCCTCAACACCCCCAGCCACCAATTTCACAACTCTTCCCTACTCAGCCCTCACATTTTAAAACTACCATTTGCATGCACCCAGTGCTTAGCGTGTGCGACGGGTTTTATTCTCCAAAGACGGCCACTACAACCCTCTGTCCCACATGCATCCCTCCGCTTGAATCCAGGCGGGCCTGTGACAACGGTGGAAGCGACACTACATGGCCTTTACAGCTGGACTACACAAGGCCAGACAGCTTCTGCCTGGTCCCTTGGGACTCTGACTCCTGGAGCCCAGCCACCGGGCTGTGAGGAAACCCAGGCCGCATGGAGAGGCCGCATGTAGGTGCCGGCTGACAATCCCAGCTGGGGTCCCAGCCAACAGCTGGCATCACCTGTCAAACGTGTGAGCGAAGCGGCCCTGGGAGGGTTCCAGTCCAGCCTGCGCGCTGCCACTAGCTCTGGAGCCCTCCCAGCTGATGCCTCAAACATCAAGGAACAGAGACCAGCTACCCCCGCTGTCTCCGTTCTGATTCTGGATCTACAGACTCATAACACAATGACTGCTGTTTCTTTGCCACTACGTCTTGGGGTGGCTTCTTACCGAACAATAGACCAGATCGATTATTTTAGGAACATTAACAAGTTTATAAGGTGACAGGCAAGAAAAAGCCCTATAAACACACACACACCCCTAGAGCGTATCAGTGCAGTAGAAACAGTCTATACAAGGGTCATGGTGGGGGGAGGGCACGGGGGAGGAGCGTCACTTCTCTCTGGGAGGGTGAACGTGTGTCGACAAAGGTTTCACCTCCAAGTAACCTTCACGATGAGGCTCAGAAGATGGGCAGGGGTCTGGAGGAGGGGGAGGAGGAGGAATTCCGGGTGGGGGACCCAGCATTGCAAAGGCCCGGAATCCTCAGGCCTGGCAGCCTGGGGAAGGGCAAGCTGCTGGGCATATGGGGAGCACCCAGTGTGGGGACAGCAGGTGTGTGGCTCACCGCGTGAATACAATAGAGCGTTCCATTTCAGGAGGGGCACTCAAGTGTCCCAGCAGAGCAAGGACTGCAGAGGTGAAGGTTGGGGCCTGAAGGCCATTGGGGAGACTAATGCCACTCTCCAGGTCAGTGATAATAGGGTCTGGATGAAGGCAAGAGCAGAGAGCCAGGGGTGAAGCGTCGTCTGCAGACAAATGAGTCAATGTAGAGGGTGAGACAGGGAACAGAATCAACCCCCTGCTGACAAAGTACCCCTTGAGCAGTCCTGCCCACCACAGGGTCTGAGCCCGAGCCTGCAGCCAGCACCCCTCCCGTCGGGGACCCCTTCCTTAGAGGGCATGACCGGCTACACTGGGAGCGCCTGAGGGCCGAGGCTTCCATCACACCTTCAGACCCTCGCGGAGGGCTCCTGTGTGTTCAGAATGAACCGTGGCTTCTTCCCCCCCGACCCCGACTGGTACAGCCTCTGCACCACAGCACTCGGAGAGGACGGCCACAGAGCCTGGGCGGAGTGAGCGGCCTCCTCTGTGATGGCCCGTGTCCCTGTACACGCACAGAGGCCTGACACAGCCAGTGCCATCAGGAAGGCCTTCGCCACACGGGACTCGGGAACCTGACAACTGATCTTGGAACAGCCCGCCCCCCACTCCGCAGAGAGGCCGACCAAGGTGTCAGCTCTGGCCCGTCTTACACAACCCTGCCCTGCCCTCCCCGAGCCCTGCACTCCAGCCTTCCCAAGTCTCTTCCTGTCCACAGGATCCCCGAAGGGCTCTGGCCCATCCCAGGCTTGGTCTTGCCCAGGATGAGGGTGCACTTCCCTCATCTGGGGACAGAAGGCGTTTGTAACTGGAAGACGAGCGGAGTAAATGCTCTCTTCAGACCCAAGAGACCCGACCCACATGTGCACACAGCATCACCAACCCCAGCCCCAGGTTTTCCCGGGGTCCAGGAACCTCCGTTGGAATCTGTCCCTGCACCCTGCCTGGGCAGGACTCCCAAGGCCCCACCTCTACAGCCAACTCCTTCCTTATGCTCCTCAATTCCCACAGCTGGCCCCCAGACGTCCGCAGGCACTCAACAACGGCCTGCCCTCCCCACCGAGGGACTCCCAAGGCCCTCGGATGCCAGTCAAGGCTGGAGAAGTGTGGAACGCCACTCCCTAGACACCTCTTTTGGTCCATAACACCAGGGGAGCTACAGAAACATCACCC